CTCTCTTCGTTTTCTCTCACTCTCTCCTTCTCTCTTATTCTCTCTCTCTTCTCTCTTCTCCCTCTCTCTTCTCTCACTCTATCTTCTCTCTTCTCTTTCTCTTCTTTCTCTCGTCTTCTCTGCTCTCTCTTCTCTCTCTCTCTAAGAGAACGAACTAAGGGATAAACACATAACGTCTGACATAATCAGGAGGATCATTAGCAACATAAAAGACTCAAAAGCCCCAGTGATGGACGGAATTCTATCCAAAGTCGTAAAGGAACTGGCAGAGAAACTATGCCTATCACTGAAACTTCCTTTCAGAAAATCTCTGGACCACGGGATAGTTCCCTTAGATTGGAAATAAGCAAATGTCACCCCATATGGAAATCTTCAAATCTTTGAAATTTGAAGGACATCTTACTTTGAAGAAAGTACAACACCGGGCGACAAAAATAATGACAGCACTAAGTCAACTTTCGTACCAGGAAAGGTTGAGGGTCACAGGGGCTAACAATGTATACCGGACATAATAGGGCAGGGGCCAGATTCACGAAGCAGTTACACAAGTACTTACGAACCTGTACATCTTTCCTCAATCTTTAACGGCTTTGTTTACATTTATTAAACAGTGTAGAAGCATGAAAACGTCACAATCAACTGTTGCTATTGTTATAAACAGCCTCCTGGTGCTCTGGAGCTCATTAACTGTTTAATAATTGTAAACAAAGCCGCTAAGGATTGAGAAAAGATGTACAGGATCGTAAATACTTGCGTAACTGCTTCGAGAATATGGCCTCTGATCTCATCGAAACGTTCAAAATACTGAACAATTTGGCGGATATTGATCCAGACATATGGAGCGTGGCGGGTGGATTAAAGTACTGCCAAACGTATATTTCACTGTGTCGGGGGACAGGAAGCCAGCGTGTATTCATGCGTGTTTGGCTTTTATGGAGGACCCCCCGCTCTTCCCCCAAGGCCGAATTATTGACCCCGCCCAGGATGCAACCCCGCAATAAGCTGACTAACTCCTGAGTACCTATTCACTGCTAAGTGAACAGAGGCATCAGATGAAAGGAAATAAGCCCAACCATTTCTGTCCCGCCCGGAATTCTCGACTGTGCGTCGAGAACGGAGAACGAACCCGACTGTACTACCGGCATGACAATGCTAAGCTTCTAGCTCATTTGGAGATGCTATAAAGGTGATTATTGATGTTAAAGCTAGAAGCCTACATTAAAAAAAAGTTATATTAATATTGATGTGAAAAGTGGCTGTATAATATTTTAGAGGAACAGTTACTGTAGGAGAGTTGGGCCAAGCTGGCGCCAAGACGCAGGCGCCGGGGAGCAGATGTTCCTGCCCGAAACGCTTTGCGTAATAGTGACTTTAGGCATTGTATGTACTAGCTCTATCTATAAATCCATCAATGTTTGTATCACACCTGGTATGTATGTACTTTACCCGAATAAACATTTGAATTTGAATTTTGAATTTTGCTGACTGGGGAGTTATGGAGCATTGTTGATAACGATCCAACTCTTGATTACGTACTTGAGCCACCGTTCCTAGCTGAATTTACGTGAGGGGCTACGTGAGGGGCCACTAACACACTAGTGGCCTCGTCGAGGACAGGAAGCCGTCGGCTTGTCGAAGGTACTCCCTATTTGCACTACATTTTAAATTAGGTATTGATGCAACACTGGTTGCATCATTGAATACCAGGAGAGGGAAATATATCATGACTGGGAATCAGAACATTACTTATAATGTAGATGATGTTAATTAATATTTTTTTTACTGTTATTTGCAAGTTCTTCAGAACCTAAACTTATGCTGGTGTCAGCAAAATTATCAAGTTTCCAACTCTCACGAGAACATATATTAAGTTGCCAAAAATGTTTTGCACTGCAAGTGTAATTTGCTGTCTTTTTTATCATTTAGACATTTAAATATATGGCAAGCTTCGGACACCAAATACCTTTACAGTAGCTATAAATACACGCGAATTAATTTGTTTAATATATTTATGGAAATATTGAAACTAATTGCATGTTACCACTATTTATTGCAGATAAAACATAAAGCTAATTACAAACCAAGTACAAAATATAATGTGGAACAGCGAGCAATATTTTATACATAGTTCTGTGCCGCTTTCTTCACTTCCACTAAAAAAAACTCAAAATTATAAATATGAAGAACATAATAAGCAAACATTTTGGGATATTCATGTTATTTAAAACCATTTAATTCAACAACTTTATTAAGATACAGTAAACAAAACGTTTATGAACCTTTTACCTGCAGCAGCCAAGTGCACAATGCCACAGTTTACAGTCTCTTCTCTTCATGAATAATTATATCTGGTGCTGTTGTTGTTGTTGTTGTTAAAGATTCGCAACGGGGAACTAAAAGTTCCAAGTAGCACGGGCTATGGTGAGCCCGTATTTTATCTGGTGATGTGACAAACTGTAAAGCTGGATCAGAGCAATGGACTTAAGTTACATATGGAGCCTCTGCCCGAAGCAAGGCTCGCGTGTACTTCTAGAGGTACACGCGAGTAGCCTCCTCCTCCTCCTCCCTCCTGAGTAGCCTAGCCTCCTTCAGGCCAGCTACAGGCACGGAGATCATACCATTAAGAAGTATATGCAACATGTTTTTTTTTATCTGGTAACATAACTGATATACTGATTGCAACACGTGTCAGAGATACCTACCACATGCTCATTATTGGAAACAAAATCAAATAAAACAGTAATGGCACTTGGCAGAATATTGTTATCAGCAAACATGCAAACTCACTTATCGGTGTGAAGTGCTTAAATAAAATTTTACAATGTGCTTGAAAGTGTAAAAATGGATATCTACCATTAGACAATAACAATAACCACTGTTGATGCACGACAGGGCTCTACCACCACCCTTCAGGGACTCCTCTTCAACTATCCTCTTTACTAATATCCTCCATGCAAGACTTCCTCATATAAGAATTAAACTAATTGGCTCATTGAAACAGCAAAGTGAATTCTAGCCTATTCTGCATTCCTATGCCTTAACTAATACAAGAGAAACATTCTCCGGTGATATCAAGGAAGCCCTGAAGGTCTACATAACTGAGAGAGGAAGCGTTAGTTATCTACTAATGATCCCAGGTCCAGATGGTGGCACCCCGGTCGTGCTCGGCTGACCCCTCCCTGCACACTGGACCAAAGTGAACACGAGAGGGGCACAAGTGGGTGTATCACAAGGTCACACGGCACCTCATGGAAGACTCGGTACAGCTCCAGCCAGACACAGCAAACTTATCAGCAGGAAAACGACAGAGGAGACACGTCATATATTGAGAGTTTGTGGAATGTGATGCAAGAGATTGTGATTATGAAGATCAATTTAGGCTTTCGAGAGTATAGTTAGACAGAGGCTAAATATTCGCTGACAGAAAGACGTTCAGAAATCTGTTCAAAAGACACTGATGGTTTGGTGTTGGACTCAAGGCCTATCAACCATGGAAGGGTGGTTGTTAAGACCACTACAGGAGCTTACTGACCAACCCGCAAGTATACTTTAGTTCTGAACAAAGTCCCGAACCTAAATAAATGCTGAGTGTAAACATACACAGGAGAGTGGGATACACATCTCGGTGTATGACTTTTGAATATATTTCTTAGCAATGAACATTTAAATAATGCAGATAAATGCTACAGTAATGCTTACGGTAAGGTAATGCTGCAAAAGCCTACAGTAATGACACAAAATATGTATACGTAAATATTTTCAAATTTTTAGTTAGCACACTATATAATGATATAGCTAAAAAAAACTATAAATATTGTTATAGGATACTTCAAATTACAAAATCGGTTATTACCATTTACAATAAAATCATAAGCCTACTGGTTTGTACAGTAGATCTCATTAATATACGCATCCTAATTAACTTCATATGGCTATTATAACTTTTTATAAACTCGCTTTTAACAAACTTGAAAATGCATACTACTTAAAAATAGACTATGAGGATAAAATATAGAATACAACCAAACTATATGTGTCTGCATTGCAGTATTATGATTCAGGGACCAGATTTACGAAAGCACTTAAGCAAATGCTTACGAGCGTGTACATCTTTCTTCAATCTTTGACGGCTTTAGTTACATTTATTAAACAGTTTACAAGCATGAAAACTTGCCAATCAACTGTTGTTATTGTTATATACAGCCTCCTGGTGCTTCGGAGCTCATTAACTGTTTAATAATTGGAAACAAAGCCACCAAAGAAGACTGAGAAAAGATGTACAGGTTCGTAAGTGCTTTCGCAGGACTATGCGCTTAGGGGAAGAAACAAGCGAGGTGCGCAGCGCTCACTCGTGGCTGGGTGGAGCTCTGTGGGTGGCAACTATGGCCTACACATTACATATTAACACACACACACACACACACACATCTCTTAATTTTATTCTGGTACACATACTAACAATAAAAATTTCTAGTGAAATCACAGCATTTTATCCCTTGTAGAGGAATATTTGTTACTGGGATATTTTTTTTCCACAGATCATCATTTTTCCAATATAGTACCCCCATGGCAATACAGTATACCATGAGAATATAGTACTCCATGGTAATACAGAATCTCATGATAATCACTGCTTTTCACCCACCATGAAACACAACAAATATCCTAACACACAACACAAAGCTGATGAACTTGTACTCTCAAGACAAAATACAAATCTGAAATGAATATAAACTTGCTAAGAGGGTAAATAAATATTTTTCTCACCTTTTGATTATCTTACAAAAAAATTACAAAAAACAAAAAACTAATATGGACATTCTTTTACATATTATTTAAATTAATATTATTATATTATATTAAGAACATGATTTGCTGACTTGGTTATGTTAGTTTAGATTAGGTATAGATATGTTAGGTTAGGTTAGGTTTAGATAGGTTAGGTTTGATCATATTTCTCCCTTCGTTTTAACTCAAATTAAAAAAAAATAGATCATATATAATGTAATTAAACGCTTTATCATTTCATAAAAAAACAAATTTTAAAAAATAAATAACTTCACGAAAACTCGGCTTATTAGACAAATCGGGCCTTGTATAGTAGACCAAATAGTGCGTTTGTTTTCGCAGCCAACGTACACCCATTACAACAGTGGTAACTGCCCATGACAGATGAGACGCTGAGAGAATATAAGCTCACCAGTAGCCTAAGATTTTCGTTTCATAAGGTGTTGGCAGTCGCAGTGCCATCAGTCATCATCACACCACAAGCTCACTCATCCCATTTGATAATGATGATACAACACACACAAGGGTGTTTTATAGCGTTTCCCATTTATAATTGTCTATCTACAGTCAAAATTAAAAAATAATTCGCATTATTTTTGTGGCATTATGTATTAAAAGGTCTTCTCTTATTAATGAAGCAATTGTCATGTTAAACCTTTATTCTCAAATGGAAAAATGGACTCAGGAGGCAAAAATGCCTGAAGTGCCTTGCTTGTAGTTGGCAATGAAATAATCAAGGTTGCAGCTCAAGATATCGAACCAGTTATACGATATCGAATCACAAGTATATTATGAATGTGCTCAAGATATCAAACCACAATTATACGATAAATGTTGCAGCTCAAGATATCGAGTCCTGGTTATACGATGAGTGCTGTAGTTCAAGATATATCGAACAACAATAGCAAATATATGTTCGTGCTTAATGAGATATGACAAAAGTTTTTGATATGGAAATTTTCCGTGTTACAGGACATTAAGACAGGGTCTGATAGTTATGTGTATCATCAGCATCAGCAAAATATTAAATCACCATTTTTATCTCCTGAATCGAACATCATATTTTCTATCTGCACTCGTCAGATGGACACCTTACTCGGATCTCAAGTACTTTGTGTGCATTCTGTAAAGTCTGAAAACTTCAATGGCTAAAGATCATCGGCTCATTCCTAGATTAGCAGACTACTAAAACGACCGCTTGCATGAGCACACACTAGTATCTAACTAGATTCGTTATTGCTATATTTTTGCCTTAAGCTACACTATCAAGATACAGATCTTCCGTCGCTGACACATTATTGCTATAGTATATTCTATATATTGTTACCAAATCAAATAAGACATTTATGTAATAGTGTACTGAATGGTTGCTACTTGAATAATTACTTTAATCTATTTGTAAATTTAACATGCTCTGAGGCCATTCAGCAAATGTTCTTTGAACATTGCCATAGAATTTTTCAAACTTTACACTTAAGGAAATAAATCGGGTATCATTTGTTTTTTAATATTTGTTTGTACTTGGCTTTTGAAATGTATATATGATGGCAAAAACTGATATGTTGGCAGATATGCAATTAGTCCAATTCACAAGCTTTATTAGAGCAATGCAAATGGCATACCAAACTTCTGTTATTGCTTTAGTTTCTTGATATTGATCTGAGTCAATATTATTTTGCAAATTCATAATGCTGAATTTCTTAAGCCAAAAATGTTAATAAATACAAAGTTTTGACTGGTTACATAAACCTTGTATAGGTTACAAAGTAAATATATTTCGTCGTTCTTCGAACCCGCACACTTAAACGAGTCAAACGTTTTCGGAATGAATCGCTCGGCAACCCAAATGTCGCGCCAAAATTCATTGTGCTGCAGGACATTGTTTAAAAAATGTCTCATCAGGAATTTCGTAGAAATGTTTTGAAATTGATTTCTTTTATTATAGTTCCGCGTAAATTATTAACACAAATTAGTCTTTTCATTTAAGATTATACACCACAAAATAAACTCGAGCATTGTACTGCAGCATTGACGAAATTCAGGAGCTATCATAAACTTTACTGTAACGTGCATCATTTTAGCTGAGCGACTGAAAGAGAACACACCTGGGAAGTCAGGTCATGGCTCTCTAGGCTGGCATGGAGCTGGCAGGCCTACCCCTGGCATTCCAGGCTAACACGGAGATGATAAGCTTACGTGTAGCATAGAACCTGCCAAGCAGGGCACAGTATAACCATTCAGATCTGCCTCTTAGAGGTTGATGTTGTCAATAACATGTGACTGATGTCAGCAATATGTGGCCGATGTTCTCAGTAACACGTGGCTGCTGATGTCAGCAATATGTGACTGATGCTGTTAGTAACACATGGCTGATGTTGTCAGTAACATGCGGTTGGTGTTTCCAGCTTGATATAAATATCCTCCAGGGATGGCCGTTCCTACATCCACAACAGACTCATGAATCATGTCTTTTACTGCGATGTATTTCTCTTTCAGTCACACATTTATTACATCAGTTTAATTACCAATTATATGCTTGATTCTTTTGTAAGTATAGCTCGGTGAGGCTTCCGTTTCTGGAAATATATATATATTATAATTGTGCTGGTGATAGATTTGTGAAGCACGTGGTGGTAACAGAGGGTAATGAGGATCTCCGTGGGAAGAATGGGGTCATCACTCCATAGTGTCATACTGGACCTTCTTGACCTTGAAGTAGCGGAAGATAGCGTAGCCTATGACGGTGAGTAGCGTGGAGCCGGCCAGAGCAGCGCCCACTGTCACAGGAACCATCTCGTCTCTATGCACTCGGTGGATGCAGTGCTTGGCTATCCAGGGTACAAAACAACATCAATATTTATGTGACAATGTGCAAGATAACAACAAAAAGGCAATTCTCATACTAAGAAATGGTATGTTTATCTGACATACATCACATGATTTATTTATTTATTTATATATATGCAAGAGTTCTTACATTCTCGTACAGCCACTAGCACGCATAGCGTTTCGGGCAAGTCCTTAATCCAATGTTTCCAGGAATACGACCCCGCCATATCTTTTTAACAACCAGGTACCCATTTTACTGCATATGACTTGCAAGGCGAGGGAGAAAGGTATTCCCCTTGTCTCTTATGCCAGCATATATCACGATACAAATTATGAAATATTCTCAAGAACAAATTATTTTTCGCACCTCAAGTTCAAGTTCAAGTAAGTTTATTGAGACAAGAAAAAAAATACATCTCAAAGGGATAGAGTAGCTTAGGATATCTCTACCCCCCAACATTATTGCCAACAGCATTTGGTGTTCCCAGATGGTCACCCATCCAAGTACTAACCAAACCCAACGTTGCTTAACTTCGCTGATCGGACGAGAAGCGGTGTTCTCAACGTGGTATGACCGTTCCCCTCTTACTCTTCTTCTCCCACTACCTCACCATCGTCTACTCCTTCTACATGCGGAATACAGGTAGGGTAATTAGGTATGGAAGATGATACTCACGTGCTCTGAAGATATCACTATTACAGAAGGCCTGGACGCGGACTTCGTCGAAATGGAGCGTGGCCGTATTGTTGAGCTTGTCAGTGAGGATCACATCATGTAACAGTAAGCAGCGGAAGGACTGATCATTGCTGGTCTGCCAGTATCTGCGGTCATCCTGGCTCATCACCTTCACATCACCCCCACCTGTCCATATAACAAATGGGTGAGCAATTCATGTGTGAATGTGAATGTTTGAGCGAACTTGATATCTTTTCGATCTTCGCCGTGAGAGAGATATCCTCGGTTTAAATGCTAGGCTTGTCTCTCTTCTTCAGATACGTGCAGTTTGCATGAGGGCTTATCTCTCTCAATGCAAACATTATTAAACAAATTTCTGTCATAGCATTAAATGTTCTAAGCTGTATTAATAACGTCATAATTGTGTTAAAATAGATCATAATTGTATAAAAAAACATTAAAAGAAAAATATAATTATGGTAATAAATCACAAAGTTTTCTCTAAATGTCGACATTGTTTTTCACAAATATTTAAATTATGTTAAACCATTTTTGAAGTTTCATTCTTATGATTAACATTGTGTTAAAAAAATTTAACGTCACATTTAAAAAATATAAAGCTGAATTGCAGTTGTTCACTGTTTTGTCTAAAATGTTCAATTTCATTAAAAATGCTCATAAGTGTTAAATAAAGTTCAGTGTTGTATTTAAAATGTTCATAATGTTAAAAATGTAAATTATTAAAATATGTTCATAGATGTGTTAAAACATGTCAGTTTAAAATGTTTATTATTATGATAAAGAATATGAAGATTGTATTGACTCATATTAAAGTCGTACATCAGACCATTTGGGAAGGCATCGGACGAGGGAGTGGGGAATGGTAGGGATGACGAGGGGACGGAAGTGAGAGATTGTGGGGAGGACGAGGGGATAAGGGAGGGGGGTAATGGTGGGGAACGACGAGATGACGGGGTAGTTTGGGATGGTGGGGACGAGGGGATGGGGGAATAGAGAATGGTGGGGATGACAAAGGGGCATTAATATCTACTTCGTTTCACAGCTCACCTGGAGCTGAGTCAGTGAAGTCTGGATCACTGAGGTTGTAGCTGAGAATGAAGCTTGAGACAAACCACGAGTCGGAGAGGTCATCCAAGCCAAAGCGAAGCGATAGCACATAAGACGACCATGAAACATCCAACTGTGACACTTTGCCCACTCGGTCACATGTACCAGACACCTTGGCATCGTCCGACGGAGACACCCGATTACTCTGCCAAAGTAATATCCGATTAGCAGCCTTCTACTGCCTAATGCAATTACATTATAATAGTCATACAATGAAAGATGCATTTAGTGTAAATATTGGTACTTGATTTATTTTCAATAATTTATCTTGTAATGCCACATATATTACCACCAGTGTAATGACGGATACAATTTGCATTATGTTGACCACTATATGAATGAGGGGTACGAGGAAATTATTTATTAGTTACATGAGATGCTGCCTGGCAAAGTTATAACACTGTTATATATATATATATATATATATATATATATATATATATATATATATATATATATATATATATATATATATATATATATATATATATAATATGTGGCCCGATTTGCGTAACAGGGTGAGTGATTTTCGTTATTTAAACAAAATCAAATTGATTTATTTGAATCAATATTATATATTAAGAACATAAATTATAGCTATATCATTCCATAAGAATTTGTTATAAAAAAATATATAATACCAGGAAAAACTCAGCTTATTAGACAAATCGGTCCTTGCATACATGGCCAAGTAGTCCGTTCTGGCTAGTAGGTATACCATATACATATTAGCACTCTTGTTACTACCACCTTAGAACAACTACATTAACACCATCTCCCATAACTCACCAGGTAGTCACCCTTAGTGTCTGGGTAATAGATGGTGACCTTGGCCTTGAAGAAGGCCATGACGCAAGCAACACCATCCTCATCATTCACGATATATGTTTCATCATCACGCGTGTAACCCACAACTGAAATTATGAAACGTTAATACAGTCATTATTCCATCTTGTACCAGTGTCAGCAAACATACCATAAGCTTTGTGTATGACTGGTGCGCGCGCGGCAATCGATCAGTAGCGATTAAAATATTTCCTAGTGTTAATTATACTGTATATTGATGTCAGAGTTACCAAACACTGGTGATGTCATATGTGTATAGTACGTGTATTGCTGGTTGAAAAACATCTTTTCATCAGCTCGTGTGTACTAATTAAAGTTTAAAAAGAAATATACTATTTGATGCGTATACTGTCATTGGTGTATATATATATAAGATATTTACGCAAGTGAAATATCGCCCAGTATCAAAGATATGACAACTTTACGTGGTTAGAAGAAGTTTATATCCTGAATACTGAATACAAGACGAATTCTACTACTGTTGAGATTACAGCTATAAAACCAATGTTTTAAGTCTAAGTGCAAATTATATTTATGTTTCTAGGTAAGTAAATAAATTTACATAAGTCTGTAAACTTAATGTTACACAATTAAGGTAACTCCATAATGAAACATGTTGAATCGATGTTGAACTAACCTTACTTCAATAAAGTGTGCCTATAACTGATGTTATGCAACAATAAATAATGGAATATACAGATAGGAAATTTGCTTAAGTCTATGAGCTTAATAAACATTTATCCTGATCTAATTTGGATGCTATAATACAATTGCAGTCATTCACATGGCTACCCTACATCACAGGACAACTCTACGGGGCCTCACGCCACGTTCAACTATCTCGTTCCCCTGAATTGCCTGTTATGAAGACTCGTGCGAAGGTTTAAGGAGGACCTATTTTCCAGCACCACAAGAGTCTTGAGCACATAAGAGAAGTTGCAGGAAATTTCGTGAGTCTGTTCTTCAGCTTTAGTTAGTAATTAGATCGTATATTTATTTGACCAGACCACACACTAGAAGGTGAAGGGACGACGACGTTTCGGTCCGTCTATTTATTCGGTCTCGTTATTTATATTTATTCGGTCTCTTATATTTATTGTTGTAGATTAGAATTTCACTTTTGCTGTTTACTATATACTAATTTGTGAATATCTAACAGGCAAAGAGTAAGGGTGAACCTGTAAGAATTGATATATACTAATAGGAATACAACGTATGGTAATTTGGAAAACAACATGACATGCATAAATTAACCCCTTTCGACCTTTGGACCTTGAGAGAAATAGTGAGAGTTAAGACTGACACCATCAAGAACTGACAACATTATGTTGCCTGACTAACAATACAAATTGTTAAGAGTCTGTATTATTATAACTAAAGCTGAGAAAATTTAAGGGTGTTTAATTTTGTCTATTCCTGACAATTAATGACGTCACAGATACTACCTTACCTTGAGGTTACCTTGAGGTACTTTCAGGGCTTAGCGTCCCCGGAAGCCCCTCAAGGTAACCTCAAGGTAAGGTAGTATCTGTGACGTCATTAATTGTCAGGAATAGACAAAATTATATAAACAAACATAAGTAAACAGACATTAAATAAAATATTACCTAGAGCCACGTCACTTCTCAGTGTCAGCTGCCATAAAAGCAGAGTACCAAATAAAGAAGCAAAGACGGAAAAGAGGAATATAAGAAACTACAAACAAAAAAATGGTACGATATAAATCTGGGTTAGGTAGAGACCCTGGAAACACAAACCGAAACTGTCTCAATTTTCCGCTTGTTATAACTTGTAATAAAGTTGTTACATCTTGGCTTAACGTGTTTATGACGTATTAAAACGTTGTTACAACTTGCTATATTGGTTATCATAACTGGTTAGGAAGTGTTAAACCTTGTTCGAACGTTGTACCAACGTCGTAGTTTCGGTGTGTGTTTGGCGGGGAGAGCGTACGACCTCGTGGAATCGAGGCTGAGTCTACGACATCAGCAAGCTGAGGCAGTGTAAAGTTTCTGGTTTTTGAAATTGAAATTGAAATAAGTTTATTGAGGTAAAATACACACAAAGGGATGAGGTAGCTCAAGCTATTCTCACCCCATTCAGTACAACGTGTTAATATATACATAGACACACATCACAAATAAACATATTGCCAAACATTCTGAGAGGTAAACATATACATTTCCTCCTTCACAAGGAGTATGTTATCAGACGTACACACAAATACTTTTATGACCTAGGTATACTGTATAGACAATTTGCAAGAGACATGCAGATAATTCAACAAAATATTACAATCTTGGTGCAAAATTCTTATGTCTCTCAAGAATATCATCAACCTTTCCGAGAAAGTTTCTGGCATTCCGGTGTTGTGCGTCGCTCCAGGGGCACCCCTGGCTGTGCTTGAAGAGATCCGAGGAAGGTTTCTGTATTATTTAGTCCAGGGATTTAGGAGAGAGGGGGGGGAGGGAACTATCAGGAGAAAGCACTGGGAAGAGGTCAGGATAAGGATTTGGGATGGGACGGGTGGGGGAAGGAATGGTGCCCAACCACTTGGATAGTCTGGGATTGAACGCCGACCTGCATGAAGCGAGACCGTCGCTCTACCGTCCAGCCTAGGTAGTTGGACTGAGGGGGGTGGGGGATAGAAGACCCCACAGTGTGAGAGCACTGGAGAGTGATCTCGCTGATCTCACTGCGAGTAGAGGCGCACTGCATTGTGTTTACAAGCTGTACTGGTTGCTCAGTCACAGTTAAGGGGCGGAGACGTGGTGGAGTGTGTGTGTCGCTGTGAAGCCAAGTCTGGTGTGTTGAACCAGCCCGTTCTTTCGATTTGAAACTCCGTATCAACCGCAACTATTATGCCTAGCCAGAAATGTAAGCAACCCACCTAACCTATCGAGACCTGTGCATAGAAAACGTCCTTATTACGGTGTTGTCAGGTTTACTAATACGTCGCATTTTTACGGACTGGTCGATTCCGCAAAAAATAAAACAAAAGAAAGGCGACTGTTGTGGGTTAGAGGGTCAGCCGTTGGCCTAGAGAGAGGTCGATAAGCCTAACAGGCACTCTGTCCCTGGCAATGGGAAACTATAATTACTTAGCTTAGCTTAGTACAGTATAACCAATTAGATGCTTAACATTTTATTAATGCTTTGGATTATTTAATAGTTTTAGTGAACATTTTCCATTTTTATAAATTTGGCCACACTTTAAAAGATGCCAAATCAGAGCTTTCTTGAGACATTTAGGTCTGCCATACACCACATATTTAAATAAAGGGTAAAGAACATCTTTGTAAGATCTCAGCTCTAAACTTTGAAGAAAAAGACCCCAAAACAAAAAAGTTACCTAAATTACAACAGTGAACTTATTTTACATAGAAACTATGGCGTCTTACCTGTCTGCGCCATAGGCACTGGTAGCTCTTCATATTCAGCCTCCCTACTACCATCATTTTCCTCCTTATTCCGGCTTTCAGCCTCTGCATCTCCTTCATTGTCTCCTTCATCCATAAGCTCGTTATTCCCTCTTTCTCCTTCTATATTTCCTTCCTTGGCGCTGATATCCATGGGGTCCTTTTCCTTCTTCACGACAAGTGCAGGGTGCTGTGGTGAACCTGTAGTGGCCTCTCCTGTCTCCATACTTACTGAGGGCTTTTCACTCCCTATGTCTCCAGTCTCCTCTGCCAGGGGCATATCCTCCTCAGTTGGTAGTAACAAGTGGACAGTTTCATGAACAAGTGGTTGTGAAAGGTTGTAGATTGTCTTACTGGTGTCTGTCTTGGTGGATACATTTTTAAGGAGGAAGGTGGTAGACGTTGTGTTGTGAGTGGCGTGTAGAGTGGTGGCAGCGCCTGCGAGTACCGCCCCCACACCTGAAAACACAAAATTCACATTGACCAGATCACACACACACTAGAAGGTGAAGGGACGACGATGTTTCGGTCCGTCCTGGACCATTCTGAAGTCGATTGTGAGAATCGACTTGAGAATGGTCCAGGACGGACCGAAACGTCGTCGTCCCTTCACCTTCTAGTGTGTGGTCTGGTCAACATACTTCAGCCACGTTATTGTGACTCCTCGCCTGCACAAAATTCACATTGTGTGTATAGTGATCAGTTCCAGCCATGTGCTTCTGTTGCACTTCCATCACCGCTTTCACGATGTGTATGGAGTGCATAATATATATGTACTGAACTAACTGCACAATAAAGATCTCGCAACCACATATCCACATTCATCTCTAACTATTTTGATTTATATGATCTATACTGTACATGGATTCAGATTTGTTTACTCACATAATTCTCCAATCGAATATTTGAAGTTTACATAATTTATTAGTATCACTTCTGTCAATCTAAGATATTAATCTCTTGTACTCTAAACATCTAACAAGCTACATATATAGTAAATGTGTACTTGAATACACTCATGAACATCCTAAGGTCTTGTGCGCACACACCGTGATGCACTCACAAAGCTAATTTAAGTACATTATGTACATTATACATAATATACATAGGAGGCCACCTTAAGTACATTATGGCCTATGTGCTGTGTATGTTTCTGATGTACTTGTAACACAAGGGTGCATGGGAGTTCCACCCTGGAAGTACTCGTACCACCACGGGTATATGGGAGCTCCACCCTGGGTGTAACTGTAATACTATGGATGTATGGGAGTTCCACCCTGGGTGTACACGTATCACCACGGGTATATGGGAGCTCCACCCTGGGTGTAACTGTAATACTATGGATGTATGGGAGTTCCACCCTGGGTGTACTCGTACCACCACGGGTATATGGGAGCTCCACCCTGGGTGTAACTGTAATACTATGGATGTATGGGAGTTCCACCCTGGGTGTACTCGTACCACCACGGGTATATGGGAGCTCCACCCTGGGTGTAACTGTAATACTATGGATGTATGGGAGTTCCACCCTGGGTGTACACGTATCACCACGGGTATATGGGAGCTCCACCCTGGGTGTAACTGTAATACTATGGATGTATGGGAGTTCCACCCTGGGTGTACTCGTACCACCACGGGTATATGGGAGCTCCACCCTGGGTGTACAAGTAACATAGGGATGGCGAAGCACACTGACGGGTGGGTAAAGGAATATTGCCCCTATTCATCATGACAAAACTTATGAATCACTTATTTCTCTTCGAACGACGTCCGCCGGCGGTTTCTCGTCCACACTATCTGTACTCGATGAAACTTTCCTGACAAGACGATCAATCCAATCGTAGTTTCATATACAATTTTGTCCTGCGAAAAGGAATTTGCTTCGTCTATATATAGATTAATGGTGGAACACACGTCATGATGTCATTCGGGTTTTAGCAGGGCCTCGCCGTCCTAGCGAATCTTGCACTAACACAGCCACTCACAGGCATGTCCATTTACACGTATAGACATATATATGATATACATTTAGGCGGCTGAATACCACCGTTTCTTACCAAAGGAGATGAACACAGCCCACGTCGACGCCATCTTCCTCAGCTGTGAAAGTCGGCAGTTGTCGCGCGCATGCGCCAGCTGCTGCCACCACACGAGCATTGATTTTACCCCTGGTGGCCCGCGGCGATGCTGTTCTAATATAACATTTATGATGAAACACATGCGTCTTCTCATTCATGTAATATATGAATGCTGAAACATGCGTCTCCACATTCATGTGATATAGTCACGTTGAAACATGCGTCTCCACATTCATGTGATATAGTGACGTTGAAACATGCGTCTCCACATTCATGTGATATAGTGACGTTGAAACATGCGTCTCCACATTCATGTGATATAGTCACGTTGAAACATGCGTCTCCACATTCATGTGATATAGTGACGTTGAAACATGCGTCTCCACATTCATGTGATATAGTGACGTTGAAACATGCGTCTCCACATTCATGTGATATAGTGACGTTGAAACATGCGTCTCCACATTCATGTGATATAGTCACGTTGAAACATGCGTCTCCACATTCATACAACATATTGATGTTGAAACATGCAGCTGTAATCCCATATAATACTGATGTTGAAACCTGTGGCTCCACACGCGTATAACATATTTAACTGATGTTGAAACATGCAGTTCCAAACCTGTTTAACATACTGAGGCTAGGTTAGATTGGGTTTGATCAAATTTCTTCTACGTTAGTTTTAACACAAATTAAAAATTAAATTTGTATATTATGTTATGGAAAGCTTTCATTCCATAAGAAAATTGTTTGAAAAATATAATATTTCAGGAAAATTTGCCTCAGCTGAAAATTCAACATTATATACGGCTGCCAAAAAAAAAAGTCTCTTAGAGTTACACAAATAAAAGAGAAACTAAATCATATTTTCTTATAATATTGCATGGTAATGACTGAATAGAACCTTAAACCTATTTTTTACTCATGTTTTTATAACAAAACAGTGGAAGCTGGGTACATAGTGGCTTGCCCATGGTCTACACTGGAGGGCACTATCAAAGGGGAAAGCGTCAAGCTATTACGACTACATAGCACTGGGGAGGAGTCAGGATAATGATTTGGGATGGGACGGGGGGAAGGAATGGTGCCCAACCATTTGGACGGTCGGGGATTGAACACCAGGGATTCGGTGCAGTGGTAATTAAAGCACTCGCGCCGAATGCATGATAGAGCTGATGAGTTAGCCTAAGAATCTGCCTTTAAAGTAGAAATTGAGTATAACCTTGGAGGTCAATAAGAAGTCTGAGAACAATAGTACACCAAGATACGTGAATTCAGAGACAATTCTATAACCAATGTTCCAACAATGTGTAAATATTTAATTCAAAATGATCTGCTACTAGAAATCTTAGCCAAATATCCCCAGTTTGCTAACTGTAGGTAGTAACTAAGTGACTGTAACCTATCCACCGCGGCCCATGTATGGGGGGCGGTGTGCAGGACAAACATATCAATCGTGACACTAGCTCACCACATATGTCAGTTGCTTAATTTAGAAACTGCACTTGTGGTCGATCTCGAACCCATTGTTGATGTGACGATGTGAATTGAATTTTGTAACTAACTCATCAAGATTGTAACATTTAGCTTAGCTAAATGAATTATGGGGTTCAGTCCCTGAGCCCATTATGTGCCTCTGTAACCCTTTCCATTACCGTCCACAAGATGGGTATGAGATGTATAATAAATGATCTAAACGATCATTTATTATACATAAAGGTATCTAGGTATGATTTGGCGGGTCGTATTCCAGGTAAATTTTTGGATTAAAGACTTGCTCAAAACGTTATGCGTGCTAATGGTTTTACAAGAATGTGAGAACTCTTCTATATATAAATAAATAAATAACAAAACATAAGATTCTAAGAAAAAATGACAAAGTAGACAAAGCAGCGCTGTTGAAAGTGTAATTTTTAAACAATTCACTCGCTCCAATTTCTTATCTGCTTAGTGACAAAACTTATTAGCACTAACAACGTAACAAAAGCTAGGAATAGCATAACAAGGAATTATGGATGAAAAGCTTAAGTTTAAGTTTAAGATAAAAACTAAGTACCACCTAATTAACTCAATGTAACCTACCTCACCCCTAAATGTCAACCCATGTCTACGATTTTAAACAATGCTGTTTGTTGACCAAATTGTATTTTTGCATTTTTCTACCAAGTTTTCCCCCCTCCTTTTTTCATTTTTTTCAGATTTTTTCTCAACACAATTTATACTTTAATCTTAGTATTAAGTTTTAGTCTTAGTGTTTTTCCTGCCCGAAACGCTTTGCGTAATAGTGGCTTTAGGCATTGTATGTACTAGCTCTATCTATAAATCTATCAATTTTTGTATCACCTCTTGTATGTATGTACTTTACCTGAATAAACATTTGATTTGATTTGACCCCGCTAGTATCTAAAAAGCTCCCTTAAAGTTAAAACTATGACGTCACGCACCTCTCGCGCACTATATTTAAACCCAAAACCATAATAAATCAATGTTTAACTGATATTTTTTTTACCTTACCCTCCTTTTATTTTCTTGCCTGGTTAAGTTATTCTAGAATATATTTATGTAAGTCTTCCAAGAGGAGTGATAAGATAGGGTGGGACACGTCGGTGTGTCAGTCGCCTTCAGGTCTTCTTGTCCCACCACACTCGAGCCCCACCACCATACTTCTCGGGTACTCCTATATATATATATATTGGCGTGTAATTTGTGTTATTCGGAGGCTAACCATAGCCCGTGCTTCTTGCCCCGCTCCTGTGCCAGGTAAGTTACGGGCTCACCATAGCCCGTGCTACTTGGAACTTGTTCCGAGTAGCTGAATATAACAACATTGTGTTATTAATGTGCTCAAGATAAAGACAAGTCATCTGCTCTAAGTGTCTTAGATGCTGGAGAGCTAGTCCTTGTCTAGATAAGGTGATTTACGTTTAATAAGCGTCGACCTTAACGTTTTCCTTATGGGTGCGAAGTGATTTAGATTTATGTAACTGGTTTATTAACTCAAAATGTAGGATTTATTATAGTGCATATGTATATCTAATGTGTATTTGTGTTTTTTTTTATTTTAAGGTAATTGGTAGGGAGTAGCCATATACATGGGCATTTCCAATGTTAGAAACTGGTTTATCAGTAGGAAGTACTATTATCTTTATCTATGGTTTAAATGTGGAGTAATGCTCTACTGTACTCTGCTGTAGCAGAGTTGCCAGTGGGGATGAGGTCAAATAATACAAAAGATAATTAAAAAAAATTAGTTGTCTGGTTATCAAAACTATATGCAGTATTCGTAAGATATCAAATCAAATCAAATACTGTATTTATTAAGATAAAGTACATACATACACAACACATTGATGGATTTATAGATAGAGCTAGTACATACATACAATGCCTAAAGCCACTATTGCATAAAGCGTTTCGGGCAGCTTATGTTGGCTTAGGATAGGTTAGACTAAGCTAGGCTAGGCTAGACTAGGCTTGACTTTGCTTATTGCTCTGTACAATCTTATTCAATATCCTGGTACAAGCTTCATTTCTCTTCCCACATCCCAGTGGGTGCATTTTTGGGGCCCAACTTGTGGCCCAGATACTCTACACAGGCTTTTGTTATTTTCCTTCCTATGAACGTTGCTCACGGGGAACTTGCATTAGTTCTTACTCCAGTCTGAGATCCTGGCTGGCAGAAAACCCATTGTTTTCTTTAAACAGAAAAATACGAACCTAAGCAACCCACTTGATGAGGTAGATGCATATAAAATGTCAGTATTAAGGGGCTGTAATTTTTGCTAAAATGTTATATTTTTAACAGATGGGCAGGTCCTGGTCTGGGGCTTTGGTTCCTGGGTGTCGGCTCTCGTTTCTGGGGCTTTCATTCTTGGTCTGTTTTTCCTTGGGTTGTGTCCTAGGCTCCCAGGTTCTACCTTGTGGCTACCTTGTGTAGTAGCTTCCGGGAATCAACACCCCTGTGGGCCGGTCTCCGACCAGGCCTAGTTGGTCGTCTGGTCAGCCAGGCTGTTGGATGCAGCTGCACGCAGCCTGACGTATGAATCACAGCCTGGTTGATCTGGTATTCTTTGGAGGTCTGTACTCTGGGTTCTTATATTTTTTCTTGTTTTCCACTGTTTCCTGCCCGGCCCTTTGCCTTGCTCCTCAGAGAGTCGGTGGGAGGCTCTCTGTAGGTGTCTTTTGGATACCTACTGCTGCTATTATTTGGAGTTTGGCCCTGGTTGTAAAGGTATGGGGCAACCTTGTTGGTCTTCCCAGCTTGAGGTATCTTTGTGCCAATGATATATAGAGAAGCCAGGGTAGACAGTAAATATATAAATTCTGTACCCTTTTGCTAGTACTTAACTCTTAAATTTGTTATATATTAATGTTAACAAAGAACATGGCTATCAGATGATATAACCCAACACACAGCTGTTCATAGCCATCAGCAAAACTAGAAAGTTGAAGGTACAGCAATCTATTAGGCTCAAGAGCATAAGTGTACAAAACATCATTAGCACAATAGAACTGTGAATAATACATCTCGGTTTATAAACAAGGACTCTGACACTTAACATAATTATTGTAATACATGTTCATACTGTATACAGAATCCCTCTTACAGTCTGACAAAAATTAATTCAACACTTATTAGCAGAATCCTTATGATGTACTGTTCTTGTCATTCACCAACAGGAAGAAAAGTGGTACAACAAGATGGGTACTGATGTCATGCCAAAGAAAACTCCATTTCCCTTGCATATGGTATCTCCACTCATATCAAGTACAAGTTTATCACAGCTTTGTGGCCGAGAAGTTCTCCTGAAACTTGATAACACTCAGCCTTCAGGCTCTTTTAAGATTCGAGGCATTGGGCATTTCATTGGAAAAGTAAGATACAGTACTGTAGCCAAATTTTTTATTTTATTTTATTAGAGGGCCAAGGTAATTGTAAGTGTGTAACTGTACTGTATGTACACAGACTAATTCAAATGTATGATTTCTAATGTATATAAATTAATCTGAGTTTTGTCAACGATTCCAAATATGCAAAGAATAACAGAAACAATGTTGCAGCGGAAGAGTTATGAACATTTTGGATAATATTTTTATTATAAAGAGAGTGCACTTAAACTGTTGGGCTGTTCTACTTGGCACCATTTTGCCCAGAAGGTCTTATTGTAGGGGGAGAGAGCAAGATTAAAGTGTTCTCACATTAACAATTTTCTCCATATTAAGAGCCCATTAAAAACACTGCTCTGATAATTCTCTCTGTTGTTGAGAATATTTTATGAAAGCTCTCTAGAGAGAGAGAGAGAGAGAGAGCTTCCATCATCTGACATCTCATGTGTCATCATGCTGACTATTTTATGAAAGAAAGATATTACAAGGGTGATATCTTGTGGTACAGCAAAAGTTACAGAATGTAATGCAAAAAAATTCTGTACAGCAAATTCAAGAAAATTGTCAGGAATCTCACTTTTACAATGTGGTATTTGGGCAAGTGGCTAAATTTAAATAAGTCAATAACACCAAGGAAGGTGAGAAGTGATGTGGGGCAGAACAGTCTACGGTGCAACATACTTCGTGCTCTGGACTTTGTATAACTTGCATGTGCAAGCCCATACTCTTAAAACATTTTCACAGTTTCAATTTCATATTCTCCAAACTCGTGTAGAGCACAGACTGTATTTTTCACTTCATCTGTGTTCTTCTTTTCAACAATAGTCATTGATGTATGAAGGTCTGTTGATGATTAATTAAAAAAAAAAAGTGGAATATTCTTTTATATGGTATACTGTGAGGTATTGTAGTACAGTACTTGATGTTAAGATCTCTGGTCGTGATCCAGTGTATGAATAAATTCAGATATCATTTGGTTTCGTACAAACCTCTCCACAAAACCCCAAGATAAACTATGTTAACTGAACATGTAACTGAAAAAAAAGATGTTCGATGTTTCTTCACAGAACAAATTTCATAAAGAGTGCCTAACTAAACACCCAACCCACAAATCTGAAACTAAATAATAATAAATAAATAAATGTTTATTTAGGTAAGGTACATACATGAATTGATGAAGTTTGTCTCTCTTGAACCATTATCAACTTGTTCAGCCATGTTATGGCTAATTAATGTAAGGTGAGTGGAGACCTTACCTTGTGATGATTCCAGGGCTTAGCGTCCCTGGTCCTCGACCGAGCCTCCTAGTCGAGGAGAATGAGGAGAAAATATGAAATTAATGCATTTGCAGTGCCTTACTCATAATATAGATGGCTACCATGCTGATTTGAGTTATGAAAAGTCAATTAAACAACTAAGCATTGCATAATTTATGTTTTTAACACTATGACATTGTCATGCTCCTAATTATGCTCCATGGAAGATTGATGTATTTTACTTTATTTGCAAGAAAGTACAACAGGTTATTTTTTACATTTATGATACAGTATCTAAATTTGTTAGTTTTGTCAATCCACTTCACATGGCTGAAGTATCTCGCATGTTTGGTATATGTACTGTACTGTACATATTTCTGTCTTCGGCTGGTCACCAGTCTCCAGACATTGGCATATAATAATAGAACCACAAAATTCCAGAAACTTCTCAAATATATTCCAAAAACATATTGGAATGTGCAAGGTCTCAAAGACCTAAATTCATATTCATTTTTCTATGATAGTTACTGGGTCTTTTAAAAATCATGGTTATTTTTGTCAAATTTTGTTATATTTGATTTAATTTTTGTCCTTATTTTTAGGTACTGTAATTGTAGAATTTTACAACTTTAGGATGACAACGCTGAGGTCATTAGTGTTGTCATTACAGTAAATAGTAAGGTGCATTATGGCTAATAACGAGTCGAGTCTATTACTGAAATTGTCCCCTTTCTGATCTCTGGACACCAAAACCAAGTACGGTATCTCAATTTATTTGAAAAGGCCTCGGGGCCCATGCTAACACACCTTGAACATTAATCTAAGAACTTGACTGTCAGTACTTCCCAAAGAATCGGTCACCAGATGTTGACAAGTGTTTCTACTTCTGGCTGAATGAGAAGAGGAGAAAAAGGTTGCCAAACAGCATGAGAACGCCACTAAAGAGTACTGACACATCCTTCTACCTTGTCAGTAATATTAGAGCTTAAAGCTGTGAAGTTTCTGGAGAAATGAGCCACCAAACATGGGATACATGAAACTTGTTTGGCCTCATAGGTATTTAAAGGTGTCTTAAAAACCAGGTTCAGTATACTGTGTTATTCTAGGTGTATTGCATGATTTTACAGAAATGTAGACATGACGAGGGGTATAATGTACACTATAATGTGTATTATGTTGATGAAATTCTCTTATAAAAGTATATGTTGTCATCTGGAGAACATTGGCAGGGTGTACAGACACTTGGAATTCTGGATGCTGCCAGTTTTAATTAATATATCTGTAATACCTGTGCATGTACAGCATCCATTCCAATAACATTTTATAAAAAAACGACATCTAGTCTTTCATTTCATACATGAGTTTTCATAATCTTACCTCTGCCTTTAGTTCTGGAAATCTGTCTCTATGGTCCAGTCTCTGACCTAATACTGATACTGTATTACTATTTTTTAGTCTGACTTTTTAGATCGATGACTTTCTCCTCCAAGTGTCCAGTAACTGCCAACGTAACCCTAAAGTAGCACAACATAGGGGAGTGTGAATTTTAGAAAAAGCACATGTAAAAATATACAGAATAGTGGAGCTGCTGTCACAAATGGATAGATTATTTATATATTTAAAAGCATGAGCTAATATGTAATTTCTATTGCTGTTCTTGTAGGTAATAAGTGGCATGCTGAATGCTATATATGAACGTTTTAGTCCCAAGAATTTAAACATATTTTGTTACATTTCAGAACCTTGAGAATGGTTATGACCATATTATTACATCATCGGGAGGAAATGCAGGGATGGCTGCTGCATATGCATCTCGGAGGTTTGGTGTTCCAGCCACGGTTGTCATCCCTGAATCAACCCCACAACTAATGATTTCACGGCTCAAAGAACAAGACGCAAATGTGATTGTAAGTTGCTTATTAACGTTGTAGTAAATTGGGTAATCATTTGGACACCTGGTCCAGGGTACAGTCAATGTCATAGTTTATATGACTACACACAGAGATCTTTACAATTGGGATCTGAATAAACTACTGAGTTTAGGAAAAAAAAAAGCACAGTAAAGGCATGCAGGGAATAGAACAAGTTTAATAGTTACTGTGGCACCTCGTGGGGAAGTTGCCAGAGATAGATAAAAAGCAAGGTATCATAGAACACCAGAATGACTGGTTGTATACACCAAGTTGATATGCTGTCTTAACCCTTAGATCGCGCATATTACCGCGAATTTAGGGGGCATAACAGCAAAAAATATTCAAATTATGTAAAAATAACTTAAAAATGTTAAACAAATCTCCAACTTATTGGCTTCAGTGTCGTGAAACTTTCATAAAAATATTTTCAGAAATTGATTTTAGACGAATTTTTGAAAAATAAGAACGTTTTATTGATAAGAACAGCTCCTAATAACTGTAACTGAAGGATTATGCAGTAATAAAGAGATGCAAGCACCTGTCCTATGCTCAAAGAAGAACAATAGTAGTAAGAAGTGTCCACAAAGTGGATATGCAGTTGGTGCCTTTATATCATTGCTGAGTAATACATAATAACACAAAACATAATGAATAACTATGTTAATATGATCTATTTTGTTATATATCATATAAATCCATTGTCCAATGTTAATATATGTTACTTTGATCAATGTTCCAAAAATAATTTTTTTAGGGGATTTTTTTTTTTTTTTTTTCTCCTCCTTTGTTTATTATTTGATTTTGTTTTAACCTTTACATCCTGGAGAATGCCTATGTTTTCATAACTATGTGAAGATAGAATGAAATTGGTCAACAAATAAATCGGTCACAAATAGCAAAACTTGGGACTTTTAATTTTTTCTGGCTGATTTTTTTCTCTTTTATCAAACTATTTTCTTTGTCGCTTTAGATTGTTTTGATGATTAGGGATCATATTAGGGCTTTTTCACTTATATAAAGTATACCCTAAATATATCCCCTAAATCATTATATTTATTATAATTATCCCTATATTTTGTGTTTTTTGGGGGTTATTTTTTCTTGACTTCATTTCAACACATATTGACCTACAACTTTCACATATTCGAGTACGAATGCCAAACAATGTTTATTAAAACATACAATTAAATTAACGAATTAAAACTACCTTTATTCATTGTTGATAACTTCAACTTCAATTATCTCTGAAACCAGAGTTTCAACTTTGAGTGGCTTCTAAAATTCCAGTTATTAACCGATTCTCACTATTTTGACATATTGTGTGCTCAGCTGTCTGTTCTACAATCCCATCAGAATGGATTTTTCATAAACTTTATACATTTGGAGTTATAATTTTTTTTTGGTCTAAATTTGCCGCATATTTCAAATGTCCTATTGACGATTTTTTTTACAGTAAACTATACTAAAAACCTATATTCTAATTTAATGAAAATGAAGATCATATGCTATTCTGAGAGAATAATAACATTAAATGAACAATTAATGATAGTTCATATTTTTTATTCTGAATTGAAAATCTGAAGTTTTCAATATTCAATTTTAAAATTAATTTTGATTCTCTTGTTTTTCAAGTTATGCTGTGATCATTTAGACAAAGTTGGAGCATTTGCCTAGTTGATTATACAAAAAAAAAATGGAAAATGTTTGTGCAAGTTTTAAAACTTATGTTAAATTATTTTTTGTCAAATCATATATTTATGTATTGCGCGGTCTAAGGGTTAAGGTACTTCAGCAAAGGTGAGGGTAAGTACATTGCCATGGCTTCCTCAGAGTGGTGACAGGGTATATGGTACTATTGTTGTAATCGCTGGTCAACTTTTAATTAATATAAAGGTGGTCACACTGGGTGACATATTGATAGCCACTGCCACAAAAGTTGCAGGGAAGGTGATTAGGGATGGATGCCGAGTCAGGAGGCCAGTAGGGAGTGTCCCCTCCTTTGGTAAGAGAAGCAGATCTTCTAGAAAGGCCCAACTCGCAGGCCTGGTTGCCCATGACACAACAAAGATGAAGTTTCCATATAAGAAGGTATATGTAAATTAAAGGTTGGTTACCAGGATGATGGGATACCACCTACCTAGAGAGCAAGGGAAGCAGAGTGGGAGCTGGCACAGAAGCTACCTTGTCATTGGTGGCACTTCCCCTTTTCAACAAGGTTGATCACTGATGATAGCAAAAATAATATTTAACTTGTGTTCATGTTTATAAATAACATTTCATATTACTTTTTGATTCAACAAATGATTTTGCCTTCTTTCTTGAACCTGAACAGAACTGATCAGTGTTCACGTACATTGCAATAGACAAGACTTTAAAAAAAAACCTATTATTTACTGTAATGTACTGTACATAATTATTTTACTTCATTTGAATCTGTACATGCTGAATATGCTTCTCATTAAATCTTAATCTGATATTTTAGGGAAGGGCACAGCACTATAGTGACTGAAATAATGGAACAGTGTCCTGAGAAGCCGGCTGCCATTGTTGTGTCAGTGGGCGGTGGTGGACTCCTATGTGGCATCTTTAAGGGTCTCCATAAGCATAGTAAGGGATTCTTGGAAACTTTCTTGGCATTAATTGATATACAGGAATAAACAGTAAGGAGTTAAATGTGGAGTAGGAGAGTTGCTCAAGTATGGTAGTTTAGGCGGTTATTCCACCAGTGAGGTGGAGGGAGTGGAGGCGGTTATTCCACCAGTGAGGTGGAGGGAGTGGAGGCGGTTATTCCACCAGTGAGGTGGAGGGAGTGGAGGCGGTTATTCCACCAGTGAGGTGGAGGGAGTGGAGGCGGTTATTCCACCAGTACTCGCCTAATTGTGCTTGTGGGTGTTGAGCTCTGGCTCTTTGGACCCTCCTCTCAACCGTCAATCAAGAGGTTGTACAGGTTCCTGAGCCTACTGGGCTCTATCATATCTACCCTTGAAACTGTGTATGGAGTCGGCCTCCACCACATCACTTCCTAATGCATTCCATTTGTCAACCACTCTGACACTAAAAAAGTTCTTTCTAATATCTCTGTGGCTCATTTGGGCACTCAGTTTCCACCTGTGTCCCCTAGTGCATGTGCCCCTTGTGTTAAATAACCTGTCTTTATCTACCCTGTCGATTCCCTTGAGAATCTTGAATGTGGTCATCCACTTCCTCTACCAGTGAGGTGGAGGGAGTGGAGCATTGGTGGTTATTCCACCAGCAAGGTGGAGGGAGTGGAGCATTGGTGGTTATTCCACCAGCGAGGTGGAGGGAGTGGAGCATTGTTGGTTATTCCACCAGCGAGGTGGAGGAAGTGGAGCATTGGTGGTTATTCCACCAGCAAGGTGGAGGGAGTGGAGCATTGGTGGTTATTCCACCAGCAAGGTGGAGGGAGTGGAACTATGGTGGTTATTCCACCAGCGAGGTGGAGGAAGTGGAGCTATGGTGGTTTGCATGCCCTCATGTTTATTGTTTGTATATTGCATTAATAAATGTTTGCATTTATTATCTTGTGTTATAAATATTTGTTCCTAAAATGCATTTTCCCTTAAGATTCCCAATTTCATTGTATGAGGTAGGATTCCACACGACGTCTCAAGGACCACATCCACATATAAAATTGGAATTCCACTGTACATTACAGTGGTTTGGATGGTGAAGGACTGGAAGATAAGACTGCAAGAAGTGCTTACAGGCTACACGGGGGTTAGTACAGTACATTAGAAAGGTAGAGTTAAGGAGTAGTAGTAGTTTAGATTAGAAACACATGTCAAATAGGGCTGCTATGGCCACCCCTACCTAGAGCTAGAGTAGATGTACGGGAATGAAACATCAGAGGTAAATATTAGAGTACTGTAATTAGAAATGACCAATTGCTATAAGACACAATTAGTGTATATGCACAAAATACATACTGATCTAATTTCTTGGTATGTGACTACCTTGTATTAAAAACTGCATTGTATTCTCTTTTTGACCATGTTTTGTGCTTGTGGATTTAAGTGCTTATATTACACCTTTAGTTTGTCATGGCAGATGCTGCAGATATTCCAGTGGTAGCTATGGAGACAAAAGGTGCTCATGCTTTAAATGCAGCACTGCAAGCAGGGAAGCCAGTTTCCATTGGAGATATTACTAGGTAAGAATGACAATTCTCTTGTTGCTGTATATTTTGATTATTTAGGATCCTGTGAAGATTTAATATTGTACACTTTGGCATGATGTGCCTTGATTTTTATTCATTAATGCATTTTCACTTTGGCCATGCAGTTCTGCACTGTATGGTTTTCCGTTGTTTTCAGACGGGAAAACATGCTCGGTTCATCAAGGTTCTTTCATTTGCATTCAGTCTCTGATGAAAACACAAGTGTGTGTTCGAAAGCTTTAAGACACGAGTCCTTTTCATTTTCACACGTGTGTAATTACCTAAGTGTAGTTATAGGTTAAGAGCTATGCTTGTGGTATCCTATCTTCACAGCACTGTCATATAACGCTTTGAAATTACTGACGATTTTGGCCTCCACCACCTTCTCGCCTAATTTGTTCTAACTGTCTACCACTTTGTTTGCGAAAGTGAATTTTCTTATTTCTTCAGCAGCTTTGTTTAATTAGTTTAAATCGATGACCTCTTTTTCTTGAAGTTCCAGGTCTTGGGAATTCTTTCCTATCAATTTTATCAATTCCCGTTACTATTTTGTACCTAGTGATCATATGCCTCTTTTTTTTTTTTCTTCAATATGTGTGTGTGTAATGTGTTTATATAATATGTATATATAATATGTGTAGGTATGTATTTGAATATACAGTACAACCTCGATTTAATGAACTGTGTGGGACCAAACCCAATTCATTGTAGTGAGGGATTGGTTGCAACCGGAAATGCCTCCAGGGTGCATTTCCCACACCTCATGGGCTAATTTCACTTGGCAAAATTTTCATTTCAGCCTATAATATAATAGACAACTACCAAATGAACACATCTGCAAAAAATAATTTAACCATACCTAGTTATGACAGTTCTCACATCCTCAGCCTTAAAACTCATTTTCAAAAGGTAGCAGGTAACTGAGCGAACGAAAGTCTTGCCAATTCAGGATGAAAATGAACCATAGAATTTACCTGTAGTTTTAAATACTCTCGATAGCTTTCCCAAGGCTCCAACTGTTTCTTGTCATGTTGAGTCTTATCTACAAAAATCATCAAAAACTTGATTGGAGCCATTTTAAGAGTTACCATTCATACCCTAATATTTCTCAATAGTGGGCTGATTTCAGAGCAAAATTTTAATTTCAACTTGTCACATGAAGGACAAGTACCAAGAGAATCTGTCTAAAAAGATTTAAACTACAGCTAGCATATTTCCCATGCCCTAGCTTTGAATCCTCATTTTGAAAGGAAAGGGACTTATATTTGTGAACAAAAACTGGGAATCTCAAAATTAGAATAAACCATAGAATTTGGCTATAAATATTTAAATATTTGTCCCTTACTATTTCTTATAATGTTGCACTTATCTACAGAAAGCATTAAAAACGTGATTGGAGCCATATTAAGCTCATATTGGAGCCTTCCTTTCGGCCCAACAAAAACTATTCCAAAATTTCCAATAAAACAAATGATGATGCAAAACAGCTGAATGGGAATAGGAACTAAGAAAAAAAAATTCTTCCAGGTGATAGGGATTGGGAAGCCTGTGAAATGGTACATAAAAGCAAACCAACAAAATCGGTAGAGGAAGGGAGAGTAAAGGAGAAAGAACATGTTCCTGAAAATTTTATATACCAACATAATGAGATAAAAAAAAATACTGGAGATATAATCCAGCTTAAGATGTCAGATATTGTCGTAATAACCTAGGTGGAACTGGAGGATAATGTTTTAAATGAGGTTGTGTTCCCAAGGGGCTCCTCAATTTGGAGACATGACAGAAAATTTAAGAATGATGGAGGTATTGCTGTGCTGGTGAAAGAACCGCTGGTGGTGGAGGTCAAAACCGTCAGGAGTTCCAAAGTGTTATATGACAGTGCTGGGAAGAAGGAACACCATGAGCATAGCTCTCATCCTGTAACTACACTTGGGTAATTACAGTACATGCTAGTCTGCTGGCAATGGCACCCATGTCTGCAAAGTTCCCCCTGCCAGCATACTACACACATTGCTAATTCTAGGCACACTGCTAGGATTATCAGAATCTTGGTCACTAAATCCTGAAAATGGCTAATTTTCCACAAGCTTATTTTCTAACAAGAGCATGAGCTGTTGTTTCATGATGCATAGATACACCAAACAATAACAGAGTGCAGTAGCCATCTGCATTGTGCTGTGAATATCACAAACACCGATATCTGAACAATGTACAGTATTAGTCTTTATTGCAGTCAGGATCTTGTATGATACTATCATTGCAAAATAATCGGTTACAGTACTGTACGAGCTCAGTTATCCAAAGCCCATTGCATCAAATAATTGGTTATCTGGTCAAAATTGCTTCAGGATAATTTTCTGACAAAACTTTGTCATATCTGGACAAATATGGTTGATCGGAGATTAGGTTGCATAAATTTTCAAGAATTACACATTTCAAGATCTACAATATCAAAGATGATGATGAGCTGCAACAAGATATTGTACGAGCACGGTTATCCAAAGCCCACTGAACCGAATATTTGGGTTATCTGGCCAAAATCGAGTTTGGATAATTTTCTGGCAAAACTTCACCATATCCAAACAGAAATTTGAATAACTGGAGAGTAGATTACATAAATTTTCAAGGACTGCACCTTCCAAGATGTACAGTTTTGATAGAGCTACAGCCTCACATGCGTGGGGTCCATGTTCGAGATCCATACAGTCCAAGTGAATGGAAAGATGTACCATATCACACAAGACAAACTATAACCAGCTACAATAAGGTATGCTGAGGTTTCTCTTTTTAAATTATATTTTTTGATTTAGAGTGTGTGGAAATTTGAATTGCTGTATGTTGGTTGTGGTACAAAAAATTGTGAATATAGTAATTTTTTAACTCCCCGGTAAGAATTCTGCTTATCTGGATGTGTGGCTTGTCTGGTGAGGGGGTCCTTACCATATAGTCCGGCTTATAAGTTTCATCATTTTTAAGTGATGCTGTGGACACAAGCTGAACGGTGGTGTTAGCTTGTGCTGCATGTACTACTCTTGGTTGCTTTCTCAGTACTAAGGCTTTCACACCCAGGAACAGTGTCCATGATACTTTTTGAAAATGGCGTTTGTTTACTGGAGGCCTGAGAAAGTCGATGTGAGTCCTGTAATATTTAAAACCCATGGGAGTTTTAAATATTACAGGATAAGTTAACTCATTACTAGATGAGTAATGAGGTTGGCACAGGTTGGTCAGATATGCCACAGTCATCCCTGAATGACTCGTGCAGTGGAAGGGTTAAGCATCGAGGACATTCTTTATTAACTTCAGCCGTCTCTCGGTTGGACCATTATGTCCCTTTGACTTGTTAGCTTCTCATTGGCAGAAGAGCCCAGAACATTTACGGTTGTGAACGTGTGGAAAGGCTGGACCGCCGAAGTGTTAAGATGGAAACAAACTTGGTTTACTAATACCTTGAGACTTTATGTAGATCATTTCTCATTTGCACACTTTGTGGTCCTTTGCTACAGAAATAATCTAACTCGTCATAATATTAAATATTTTATGCCAAACTTTCAGCCAGTGAAATCCCCCATTAAGGTTGATTATAGGTGACGAGACTTTAAAATCTTCAATTGAAAAGTATCGGAACTATATCTGGGTTGAACATGCATACACAGGTGCAAGGCAGTGTGGCTAAAATTGTGCCCTTTCTCTTGCATATTTCCTTTACCTTAGTAGCTTCTGTGAGTAGTTAGTCCAATATAGTGGATACAAACTAAGAACATCCAATATCTATACAAGTTGTAATATTTCTCACAGGTGCAGTCGGTAGAAACAGGAATATTGGACATAAAAAATGAGTGGACCCCACATGGTGTTACAGTACAGTACTGGCCTCATATAGGTGATGTACAGTATAATGTTGTGAATGCTTCTTTATTCAGGCTTTAGTCTATTCTTATTTGTCACTTTGACCTATTTCCTATTCCCATTCTTACCACCTTACTTGTATTGGGATTGAATACCAGTAACCCATTATCTGAGCATTTCCTTCAGCTTGATGAATTCTTCCTAAAGGATTCTGCAGTTTTCTTGTTATCATTCTCCCTATGAGCTTCACGTAATCTTCAGCACTGACATGTATCATGTGTAATCTGTGAGTTTGCTTAGTTATGTCATTCACATAAATCAAGTAGAAACAGTAGGGGGGCCAAGGACTGATTACCATTGAACTCTGCTTGATACTGGTTTCTCAAATGGCACTATTCTCTATCTGCTAGATATGCATCACCTAGTTTAGCCCATTACTCTATCCCATTTTTCATTTTTGAGCATGATCTCTGGGAAGCAGTATAAAAGGCCTTTTGTTAGGACAGAAAAGATAGTTATCCCAGCCTTTTTTCCTTCCTGCCACATTATGGTAACTTGGGTAATAGAATGCTTCTTGAAATTTGGTTAAGCTTAGCTCTTCTTCTTGAAGCCATATTCTTTCTTTTATATATATATGTGTGTGTGTTTTGTTATACATGTGCTATAAGAAACAAATGTTTGCAACTGTCATACTGTATTGTGTAATATATAGAATTTTTCTTTCAGCATTGCCAAGACCCTTGGTGCACTGTGTGTGACTCAAGGAGTCTTTGATCTAAAGCAAGGTATCCAGTTGCTATCTAATGTTATCTCTGACAAGCAAGCCGTAGAAGCATGTGAGAAATTTGCTGGTGAGTAGTTTCTTCCAAAATTCATTATGCACACACTGTCTATACAACTGTTTTATACACTTTGTGAAAATTACAGTATATAGTACAGGGAGTTCTCGCTTATTAAACATTCGCCTTACGAACATTTGTCCATATAAACATTCTCCCAGGTCCTCATGTATTCCCTTCATGCATAGTCATTGTACTGTACTAACTCGCTAGAGCATCCCTTTGAATTTTGCGGAGGTGTGAATGTCTGTGCTGGAGCCACATGGAGTACAGTATTGTATAGGTGGGGGAGGAGGGGGGTGGAGGTGCAGGTTTGCATGGGGGTATAGGTTTTGGTGGGTTCATGGGGGTGTAGGTTTGGGTGGCTGGGTGTGTGAGAGACACGTCAGATTCCCAGTGGCCTTGAATCCTCGATGACCCACACTCGCATGATTTGATCGCTTCTACTGTGTTGGTGGGGTGGTGTCCTGGGCTGGAGATAGGAGGGTGGGAAGACATTTACTGGTGAGGTCAAATACAAAATGGTGGACCACCAATACAGTGCACAAGTATTTTCATTTATTTATTAATATAATTATACCACTTCACTCTTCAAAAACAGCTAACTTTGACAAGCAGGATAACTCCATCATTAAAGGTAAATAATGTTGTGGTTTTTTTATATTACATGTCCCTAAAATATTGGTTTGGTTTTGTGAGGATTTTTGGTGGCCTGGGAATGCATCTCCCACTTATAGCATTGCACATACGGAAAATCTTGATCCTCATTTCGAACAAATGCTTTAGTGAACGTAACTCATTTGTAATTGGGGAACTGTCTGTAATTGTTTATGTAAATTTATTTCACATAAGTACTGTGCTTTTTAAAGGTTTGGTTAACTTTTATATTTGGCAGAGATGAGCCCAAGCCTCTGGCTGGTTTGTTCAATGTAACTCTTAACTTGATAATAAGTGAAGAAGGACGAACTTCAAATACCTTTGTGAGAATTGGATTGTGAATGTATTGAATATAAAGGAAGATGGGCATGAAAGATATTTAGACTGGTCATTCATTATGAAAGTTATAATACTTTGAGAAAAAACAGATGAAGATATTTCTTCATAAATTGAGCCTCTGTTGTTTTTGATAATTCAAACGCAATTGCATAATTAATCTTCAAACATTAAAAGTCAGTATTCACTAGTGGCATTAAAATATGAAATTTCTCATCCAATTGTATTCATTGACAATATACAGTAGTATGCTTTAGCCATGACCTCAGTGTTCTTGTAACCTAAAAATTAGGCAATTTCTTTTATTTCTATAGAAATACTATGCCCCATTACAACTAATATTACCATATACATTATATATATAAATATACCAGCATATAAAAAACATTGCAAATTTTATAAGGCAAGGCCCAACTTGTTATTTTTGTTAACCAAGTAGAATTTAAAAAGCTTAAACTCATTTCATTTGAGTACCTTGCCAGTTACCGTGAAAGCAAGTTTTGCCTAAAATTATATCCATGAAAAGTAAATAGCGTTGAATCTATTGAAATGCTCTTTTTCTGGTTTGTCAAAGTAGCTGCTTGGAGCATTAGGTTCAGTACCATATAACAACACAACTAGCCTTCTGGACTTGTACTAGCCTATCAAATATCATGACTAGAATCTGGTGTTATCATAGAAGCAAGACGAGCATGGGTCTTTAAGAGTAACCTCATAACAGTAAAAATACCTAGAAAGTACAGGCAAAGAAAAACAGTGTATCATATGAAAGAAAGAAAAGATGGAAACAAGGGAACCTGTTTGCCTGATGTCAACAAACCAAGCACTAATGTGCCAGTGCACCACCAGATGGCAGCTCAAGTTATCCCCAAGGGTTCCACCTGCCCACCCAACTTGCTTGTGTGCTGCCTCAAAATGGCTCTGAATCCTAATGGGGAAGATGGGCAAAAAGAGTAGGTACAGGCAGCTACAGAGCCCCCTTTCCCCTTTAGAAATGGAGCCTTCATTACATTTTAATGTTTGTTTCCTGAGCAGGTCCTCAGTGGCTCCTTAGTGCATACTCCCAGTGGGGCCTTGGAGAGGAAAACTGGTTTTTGGCTAAAAGAAGCAATAATAAAAGAACCCACAAAGAAAGGCGATGTGAAAAGGCTGGAAATCCAGGGCTCAGGTTAGAGGATACTCGGTGACTGGAAAGGCAAGTCTCTACAATGATGAGGAATATCCAAAAGATAATCAGCCCCTAGCACTATTAAGAGTGCCAGAGATCCAGAGCCTGGATATTAGCCATAGACACATTAAAAAAGAAAACAGTAATATACTAGCACACATTGTGTACATGAATACACATGAGACTGGTTGGTGGTCGAACCACCCACCAGATTACCTGGCCTTTCATCCTACCATACAATACAGGAACACAGCACCAAGGAAACGGGGTTAACAAAATGATCAGTAACCCAAAGAGCGCGGGTTTTACACGGTTAACTCTGCATTGCGAATTGACAAACCAAGCATCCACCAGAAGACACCTACAAAAGATATTCCTTGCCAAAAAAGAATGAACAAGGCTGGAGACGGAGAGTAATTTCAAGGATGAAAAGAACTACTACTACTAGCAGTGAAAAGCACCAAGTTGTGTAACCTTACTACCCGATCCAAATACTGTACAGTATAACCTGGATTCAACAAACTATATGGGGTCAACCCCAATTCGTTATGGTGAGGGCTTCATTGCAAACAGAGATGCCACCAGGATGAATTTCCCATGATGTATTGGTTAATTTCACTTAGCAAAATTTTAATTTTAACTTGTAATGGAGAACTTCAAATGAAAATGTCTGCAAAACAAAATAACATCTAACATACTTCTCGCATCCCCAGCCTCAAAATCTCATTTTCAAAAGATAACAGGGCCATACATGAGTGAATGAAAACCTTGCAAACTCAAAATGAAAACAAACCATAGAAGTTGGTTTTAAATATCCTCAACAGCTTTCCCCAAGCTCCAACTGATTCTTGTAATGTTGAATCTATCTCCAAAAATCATCAAAAACTTGATTGGAGCCATATTAAGAGTTACCATTCATACCCTAATATTTTCCATTAGTGGGCCGATTTCACAGAGTAAAATTTCAACCTTTAGATGAAAAACGACTACAAAGAGAACCTGTCTGTATAGAGATTTAACCACATCTAGTATATTTCCCATGCCTTGGCCTTGAAAGGACAACTAGAATTGGCTGAGCTGTTGCTCTGGGAGAGGGGGGGGTGATAGTGTGTGAAGGCCTAAACCCAGCTTGGCCTATTATTTATTAAGCTCCTTTCCAGATCAGTGATACGATGTAGTTAGTACCAGGCTGTTCCAGACAATACTGTAGCATTTGATTCTATGTACTGTAGCAGGGATAGGTAGCTGCATCTGACTTGTGTAAGTAGCATGGAATGGGTGTGTTGTAGTCAGCGGTATTGTCTAGCAAGCCACTACAATGAATTTAAAATAGCGAAGCTGCAACAGTTTATTCAAAATGTAATATTCTCTCTTGGATTTATTACAAGAGATAACATTTATTAATAAATTAAGAGTACATGTATGTTAAGAGAGATCAAGTTAAACTAGTAGTTTAAACACTCAAATATTTTTTTCTTTAACAATGAATGCAGTAGCTTTGTCACACCAACTTAAATGTCTCGAATGTAAATAAAATAATTGTTCAATAATTATAAATATAATTATTGAAATAATTATATCAGCAAGGCAAATGTCATTGTATCCCCTGCAGTAAAAGGCAGAAATGCTGGGGCCCAACTTCTCCACAGTAAAGGCTGTTTGTCTTCCACTCTAATTAAGATCAAGGGGAGGGAGGAGGGGGTGTAAGGTGGTGGTGGTGACAGTGACATTACTGAAATACAGGACTTGATTTTTCACTTTTTATATATTTCAGACGAACACCGCATACTTGTTGAGCCTGCATGTGGAGCAGCATTAGCGGCCGGATATTGTGGGATCATCAAAGACTTGATCCTTCAAGGTGTCATACACAAAGATGGACCAATTATATTTGTGGTATGTGGTGGCAATATTGTGACTCTGGAATTATTAATGGCTTGGAAAAACCAGTTTCATGTTCATTAATTATAATTTAAACAGAAACTCTCTCTGCAGCTTTTTTATGTAATTGCCATAGTTCAACACTTTAAAACTTACCCATCCCAGTTCTTTCTCTCAAGTTCTTAACTGGGCTTGGTTGTACAGACTTCAATCTTAGCATAGATTTTTTTCAAGATCTATGACATGGATTATTATTTGTCAGATTAATCTGAAGATTTGTTTGGATAATTATACTTGTGTTCTTTTCTCTAACTGGTAAAGACAAGGCGCCTTGTGTTAATAATTCCCAAACATATACAGTTCATGAATTATCACATCTCTCATTTATCCTTTTCCAACACAATGATGTTAATCAGTATGAGTATTAAAATATATAAACACTGAGATTATAAGCCTCTTCCAAATCTATTATTCATTGAGTACTCATCTCCCATATACAAAGAATATGCTTTGTATTTTGATTATTAGTACAAGTATTGATAAATACACTATTATAATTGACTCAAAGATTATCATGCTGTTGATAATTTTAGATGATTGTATTGTGGCTTCTTATTCTGCTCCTTTTCAGAGTGTAATAAATTTAGTTCTTTTGAATAGGCTTCATTTGATTTATTTTCCATGTTTATATCATCTTCTCAATGAACACGTTCCAATTTGTCGATATTCTTTTCTCAAATATGGTGACCAAAACTTTACACAGTATTCCAGATCAGGACATACTATGTAACTATGAAATGGTAACTTTCTCCGATTACAATTCAACGAATCTCTTTAAATCCTAAAATGTTAGGTAATATTTACTGCAATAGACTGCTACTTGGTAGTCTAACCCACTTGCAATTATAACGTCTAGGTCTCTCTCCATTTCCTTTTATTACCTCTATGATGTTCATCCAATAGCCTCCCTTTTCATCAGACCAGTTAATTAGACTGTTAAAGTTGACTTGCAATCTCTTATTCTATTGTTGTTACTTTGCTCTTTAATTGAGTGGCATTGGCAAGTTTATAGTTTGTACAGTATAGTGAACCCATATGTCATTTTTGTCAAGAACAAAATTTGTCGCCTGATCCCTTGGTAATGAAAAGTCGCACAGTTCAAGCACAAGGAAATGACCGAGATGTACCCATTTACAGAAGGAATACTAAAGGTAAGAGCATGACAGAGGCATATTCTTTATTAAGTTAGACCATTGTATCAAGATGGAACATTGGGGTCTGTTATACAAATCCATTATAACAAGATTTGTTCCAGAAATAAATTCTACCTCAAGGGTTCTGTTCCAACACAATCCATTCTATCAAGATTGCATTACATTAACCAGATTTTGGGCGAGTATGTTGAAAAATGACAGGTTGGTTAAAAAGCATCTTTCAAACAGTAGAGTGAAAGCATTTCTACCCGAAACGCTATGCGTGTTAGTGGCTTTGCAAGAATGTAAAAAATACCAGTCTTATGTAATCTCACCTACCCATTGTACCTTGTAAATAAATAAATAATAATAATATTATTATTGTTATTATTATAGTTGCCATACCAATGATACTCTTCAAGACGACAATAATGTTGAACAATAACGGGCCCATTCAAAGCTGTAGAAATTGCCGACCTGGAGAACGTGCAAAGATACTTTACCGTTAGAATCCACTCAAATTATAGACTAATTTAAATCCTTAAATCTGCAGTCTGTAGAGTGCAGGCGAGATATGTATATGATACTTTATTTGTTAAATATTAAAAGGGACTGGTTTCAAATCAGCACATGGAAATAACATAACATGAGACAAGGAAGCATGGCAGGATATGCATAATAGCTTCACTGAAAAGCAGATGCAATAGGCATACTGAGAAAGAACTATCAACATCAAGGGGGCCCCCAAGACTTTATAACTCTTCTTGCAAGGGTTATGACCTGGTTGGTTGATACCTGGTTGATGGGGTTCTGGGAGTTCTTCTACTCCCCAAGCCCGGCCCGAGGCCAGGCTTGACTTGAGAGTTTGGTCCACCAGGCTGTTGCTTGGAGCGGCCCGCAGGCCCACATACCCACCACAGCCCGGTTGGTCCGGCACTCCTTGGAGGAATAAATCTAGTTTCCTCTTGAAACTATCCACGGTTGTTCCGGCAATATTTCTTATGCTTGCTGGGAGGACGTTGAACAACCGCGGACCTCTGATGTTTATACAGTGTTCTCTGATTGTGCCTATGGCACCTCTGCTCTTCACTGGTTCTATTCTACATTTTCTTCCATATCGTTTACTCCAGTACGTTGTTATTTTACTGTGTAGATTTGGTACACCTCAGTGTTCAAAAGAAACCCTACAAGCACCTCAAGGATACCTGATCAATCGGGCTTTATTCATACATCAGGCTGCGAGCAGCTGCATCCATCAGCCTGGTTGACTAGACCACCGGCCAGGAAGCCTGGTTGACCAGACCACCAGCCAGGAAGCCTGGTCAGAGAATGGGCCCCAGGGAAATACATTTTTGGAACCACCACAAGTAAGTAATCAAAAGGATGCAAAAAGCCAGGAAGAATGTAGTGGAACCATAACAGGGGTAACCAGACGGTAAGATAACCAAGTAATTAGGTAGCAAAGTAAGGTAACTAAACAATTGCACCTTCACATATTAGGGATATTCTGCGCATTTTATAATGCGTTATGAATCGGCAAAATCTTTTTTTATATATACACACTAATATATATGCTCTGAAAAAGGTAAATATGAACATACAAATCATTTGAAGATAAAATTTATTTACATTGCTTCAGCATACACTTAATTTCATGGGGGAGCGGATGCTACGTCACCCCCCCTGCATCGTAAGCACTTGGGTGGCATTTATATACATGTCAAAAAGAGGAAAATATCTTCTTGCAGCAGTGGTTTTATGCCAAGTGAGGAGACTTCACAAGTTGATCATAACCAAGCCACACTTTCTTATAGAACTTCGATTGTCATTTTCAAATCAATTTTCCTATTTTTGTCATTTTAAATCTCACCATGATTTGTGAGCCATAAGCTAATACCATAGATCAGGGTTGGGCAAGATTACAGTCATGGTATGAAGATTAAGTAAACAACTCCTAGCAAATAGTTGGACGTATATGGCGATGTGCTGATTAGACAGAACAAGAGAAGGCAATTGGCTAGAAATGTTCACAAAATCTTTCATACTTTAACTGGCATGGCCTGCTACCTACCCAATTACATTGGTTATTTCCCATTACAGTCCCACATATACTGTACAGTGAAAAATTATTGTTAGGACTGGGACAGGACCTTATAAAGCAAGGCAACATTGATAAGTATCAGTTTATGAAATCAGTAACTCTAGGATCATGGAAAGACAAGTCCTCAGCTTGAAACAATGTATCAAGTTTAACACGGTCAGTTAATGGTACACAATTTTAAATTTAATACTTAATACATTGCTTTCTTGAGGTATATAGGGAAACTAACTTTCATAAACTTGTGCAGAAAGATTGGGAAGGACACAACCTGAAATGGCTTAAGAAAATGCAAGCCAACTCTCAGGTCATAATCTTAAATCTATTAGTATAAAACTTTATCATTGGATTATTTTTCTAAGAAAGTTTGATATGAATATAATATTGGTAGCTGTGATATTTTTTCTTTTAATCTATACTAGGAACCCTTCACCACATTAAAAAAAGATTGAAAAACAAGAGCCTTGCTGCTGAGTTTCTAACTATTCATTGTAAAACTAACAAATATGGCCACTATAAGACAAACTAAAAACAACATTGCATGCTAGATGTATATCACAAAAGACACCATACTATGAACATAAAAAAAATGAACATGTACATTTCCTGATAAAATAAAATTCATGTCTACTGGAGCAATAATAGTAATAATATGATGATAATGATAATAATACCAGAACAAACAGCAAGTGTGTGGTCAACGCTTGGTATTTGTTCAGTCTTAATAATTAACATGAAACTTAACCTATTGCCACAAATTTACTTGTAGCTTGGGAGCTGCCAAAGTGACCTCTTAACGACCTGGGTCACAACTTTTGACCAGTATAATGACCCAGGGAGGAGCTGAATGGCCACTAAACAGCTGCAGACAAAGGCACTTGGGACGTCCGTAAATCACTTGAGCAGACTGCGGATGAATGTGGGGATTTGAAATACTGATGACGTAACCAGAGTGCCTTATGGGATACAGAACATAGGTCATGTTTAAAAATATTATCCAACTCCCATGTAGAGTTAGGAATCAGAAGCATCCCAACTAGCTACTGCTGGCACAATCGCAGGGCAGACAAACCTGCGCAAAAAGATACAGAAACCACCCACGTCACATATCATAGGGATTGGTGAATTGTTAAGAATTCTACTTAAGACTGGTAAACCTAGTGGAAACTAGGGCCATTGCTTTAAGTACATTTATTGTGTTGTTAACTAAGGCTGGAAAACATAACTGGCTATCACCTTAGTTCCTGCTTCATCGAGCTGCCATACATATACTGCCACTACTCAAGGCACCTCATTTCCTCTAAGGCACCAAAAATACTTTGTAAGAAAGTTTTTGAAACATTAACAAATAATCTCTAAAACAATGATAAAATCTGTGTTAATAAATAAGAACAATAACAAGCTCCCTGCACATTATATAATCATATTAAATGAAAGTAATGATCAAACTTCTTAATGAGTCAAAACATCAAGTGCATTTTATCAGAAGTGGCACAAAATTAAGCCACTTTAAATTTGACTTACATCTTGGTAATGCTACATTAATTTACTGTAGTGTACCTAAATAATGTACTTTTATCATTCCATCAGATATTAAATTAATATTTGCAAAAACAGTCAGTTTATGCAAGAAATGCTGAATTAAGTGTTTAAAAACTCCCCACATACACGTTGTGATCACTGATCATACATAGATATGCAGACAAGGCTTTTAAAAAAAGATTCAACCAATTAATTTTGTTACTGTAAAGTTAGACCTTGAATCCTAGACTGAATTATATGTACAGTATACAAAGAAAAGTATAAACTATATGAGCTACTAGTATTACTAAATACCAATAACGGTAATACTGTAGAGTTATAAAAAAAAATACGAAAATACAGCCTTTATTTAAGGTGTGGTATAGCATTAACTACACTTGTACTAAGAGAAGCAATAGAGGCCAAAAGATGCAAGAACTGCTGCACATGATAACACAACAGGAACTAGGGTAGCCACAGATGGAAGGAGCATAACAGCCAACAAAACACAAGTCAACTAAATAAAATGCAAACAACAGATTGCTCCACTGTCTTGCAAATAAAAAGGAGCACTGAGTGCATTGTCCAAAAGGATCGATAGATTCCCATTAATTTTTGTGATAGTTCATTTTCTGTATTAAAACAGCTGCCTGTATCTAAAATTAATTAATGCCTTTTATTTAAATATTTGTTATTACTGAGTACTTATATTAAGATAGTGAGTTTTCTTAAACAAGAACATAACCAAATACTATTTACATGACAATTAGCTATCATTAATAAATATAATTATTCTGTAACATGATTAAGTCCGGCAATATTTTACTGATCAAGGCAGAACTGGACGGTAAGATTGATTGTTAATCACTTGATATATGGAGAGGATAGAGGCAATGAGATAAACCTCCAAAAATATAATAGTCCTAAATGCACGTGATAAAACCACAAAGGTATTCACAAAACAGAACTTAACCTACAATATGGGAGATTTCCAATATAGGGAACCTCTCTCTTAATAAGAGTATAACTTGGTAGTCTGTAGGCACTAATCCATCACATACAAAACTTGGGCATTTTTGCCTAAATTACCGTTGAAGCCGTAGGAGATCAGTGTTGGGCACAGTATCTCTCAAACTTCCCCTTTATCACTCAATTATGGCTTCAAGCATTCACTTTTATTTTCAGATTTTAAGGCTATCTAAATGACCCCCACAGCCTGGTTTTTGTGGCTAACATTCCCTCAAAGGTGAAAACAAACCATACATCCAGCGTAGAGAGCCCAAATTCATGGTACTTTCTGTATCACGCAAATACACAGTTGCACCATTATATTAATGCTGCCATTTTATTGTACCACTGTTCACTTCACATACAGTTTCTGGCATATTCAGACTGCGTATTTCAACATTACAAATTCTTGCACAACATTCATTCTCACCTATGAGGTACTAAAACATTAAATTTGGGTACTTGTATCCTGGCCTATTTTCTTGTTGCCTCTCACAAAAGCTTTTTTTTTTTTTTGCATAAAGCAGGATTGCATAATTTTCTGTCTATCCACATAGACAATGAAAATGCCTTCTGCCTACTTAAGCCTTTGAGAGGTTTATTTTACCTAGCCAGGAAACAATGAAACCAAATTGACACTACATGTAATGCTATTTGTCCCCAGGCATTAGTCTTCTCACCACTAAATAAGCACGAGATTTTTTTTTCTCATTTTAAATTTTCTTCCCCTCTTCCTTTATAACCACGTATGAAGATTATCCATTTTGGTTGTCTCCAGCATGTCATTTATAAAATCGGTAGACAAGTCATCATTTAGCTGAAAATAAACAAGATGTTAATAACATTTCTTCACTCAATAGACAAATATCTGCTCTCTTTATGACATAACTGGTGCATATCTATACAGGATCTCTGACTTCTTGACTACATCCACCCTTCAAGAATGTTCTTATAATTAAAAAACATTTTGGAAACTGGCCACAGTTAAGTTTCTCTTAGTCCTATATATATATTCATAGCCTGTGCTATCTCTTGCCCTCTTAAGAAAAAACACTCGACCATGTACTTCTAACATTAACTTCTTGTAATGTACTTCATTTTTTTATATTTTTCTTGTAATTCTATAATCTGCTATCCTCTCTTAGATCATCAAATTATTTCTCCTAACCTACTCAACCGCATAATACAGTATTTGTCTTTTTAAGTCATCGGATGTCTTTCATATACTTTCCAAATTAATGTACATGTTGTACAATTAATCCCCCAATTCATAAGCCAACCTGTCCTTAGGCTATGTTCATTCCATTCAGCAGTCGACCCCCAATGACACATTCATAAAGTTTAACATTATGTTCATTCAAAATATAAATTTTCTCAAATATAAAATTATTATTATACATAAGCATACTTTGTGTATTTAGGCATTGGTTAGGTTAGGTGTTTAGGTTCTGTTGGTGATTATTTGTAATATGTGGGTGAAGCATTTACAGCATTGTGGTTTGAACAAAAGTCATCAGCAAAGTACTGTTTGAGACGTATTCTAGCGTCATCAGTTGCGAGTCACATGTAAGCTGTTTTTCATTTATAAATCTATCCATACCTAACCTAACCTATCCAAACCTAACTTAATATAATCTCTAGGCTACCATATATCTTGGAGAAGTCGCTCTAATACATTGTCGCTTGTATCGTCAATTTCCTATGGCCTCTTGTGCCACTTAGTTTTGTTTAATTTCGTTGTAAACTTATTATTTCAGAGTAAAAATATGTTTTTTTCCATTTTCTACCTTCAGCACCAACATTATGGTGAGTAAATTTATCATATTTTTCATTGCTTATGTAATTATGCTTATGTATGTTACTAGGAAACTTCGGGTAGCTTTGAGCAGATTTGGGTAATTAGACTCCCTAGACCACTACACCTCAACATGACCAAAAGCAATGCAATCTGGGATTCAACTGAATCCTCTAGGTGAGGCCTATAGTCATGTACTAATTTTTCACACTTTCTGCCATCAATAAATACCACTGAGGTACAGTCTTCATAATATTCCTTAAAAAATAACTACTGAAATATTAAGAAAATATGCATATTGTACTGTACTGAATGGTACCTTGGCCAGAGGATGTAGTGCAAAGTATGACGGAGGGACTTTGTTGACAACAGTGCATGATCTTACCAATAAATTAGTATTTTTAGTCTAATAGTTACAAATAATGAAAAAGAAAAGATAATATTGTAACCTGTTTTGGAATGAGTGTAAGAGGGGGGGGGGGACAATACCAGTGAAGCACAGAACAGATAAAAGGGAAATTAGAGTAGCTGTAAATAGGTTAAATGGGGATGATGATGATCATAATGCTAGATCACCAGATGATGTGGCTTGGGAGTGAGGTGTAAGATGACTCGACTAATATTAGGGAGCTAAAGGCAGGAACACCTGGAGTGCAAGTGGAGTGTTATAAGAATAAATTGTTATTACATAACATGGTTGAATACAGTGTTCTGTACCGAGAGTGAGGAGGCATTCCAAAAGACTGTAAATGAACAATGAAATCACATTAACGTGATGTTCAATGAGAAAAACACATTAACTTGGGTATGGAAAAGGGCAGAGTACTCAAGGTCTCAAGCACTGAAAACTAGCTTGTGCTTTTTTTTTCTTCTAAAAACATATTTTTCTTTTGTTTAGAAAAGCAACTGAGGTATGAGAGAATGAAATAGTGAGGAAAATATGAGGCAAGATAATTGTGAGAGAAAATGCTAAGCCAGTACTGTATGACTATATAATACTGTACTGTACATTAGGACAAGAAGCTGGGCTAGGATGAAGAGATGGTGCCCAACCACTTGGACCATCAGAGAGTGAACATCTGCCTACAAGATGCAAGGCCCCTGCTGTACAAATGAGTCCAGGTGGATGGTAGAGGCAGATGACCAACTTCCAGAGGATGTACAATGGAACATTATATATAAAAGTGCTTGTGAAAAATAACATATTGTATGGTGATATAAACTTCCTGGAGAAGAGTACTACTGCTGTAAACTACCCTCTGGTAGGAAACTATCTTGAAGGAGTAAAGCATCCAGACTAGAAATAACTAACTAGCTAGCTTGAGTTTATATCTACAGTAAACACTGATGGCTATGCTTATAAAATGCTATTGTTCCTGTAGCTGTTATTATGAATGTGTTAATTCTGTATACATTCAAACTACACATTTTTAAATATAGTATAGTAGTTTGTTATACTCAACAATGAATTTATTTTAATCTCTCATCTAATTTCATTGTGTAGTTCACCTTTATCTCTAGGTTGCTGTCATCACACACCATGAAACTACAGAACAGAATAATGATCATACATTCCCAGATCTCTCATTTTCATCATCATCTTGCCTGTCATCCCAAACACTGATTTAACTGTCAAAAATTTTAATCTACATTGCTAACACAATACTGTAATCTGTATTACACTTAAGTGATTGGGTTATTATCAGATCACAGCTTCACTTTTTTCCTAAAATTTTGAGGGATGGATCCTGCATCTCCCAGTAACATTAACAGCTTTACAGGTGATACATCTGCATAATCTCCAGTTCTAAATTTCTACAGATACAGTACAACTAGTGTCCTTGCCAGCAGACTTTCTATATCTCGCAAAATTAATAGTTATATAACTATTATTTTTACAGTACGTCCAGTTGTCCTGGCAAATAATCATTGAATTTTTGTAATTGTGCTTTATTTGCTACACAGTTTAAAGCAAATACATGTTGCAAATTCAAATTTACTTCTAGTGACACATTTTTATAAGATTACCTGTATTGATGGGACAAGATCCTCAGAATCCATGGACTCCAGCTCAGGTGCCTCAAGGATGTTGTTTGCTGGAGAAGTTTTCATCTCGGCTGCAAAAATGAACATGGAGCTTATAGAGAAGTTTACTAGAGTAAAAATTTATAACAATACAACTGAAATTTATAATCTCGCTAATAATGACCAATACTGTTGGTACATGTGTACAGACATGATAATGAAAGAAGGTGGTAAGGAAATCTGATTTTGACCTTTAATAATTACAGGCACTGTATTTGTTTGTATACTGCACTCTATATATATATATTTTCACATTTATGCTTATGGTTAGGGAGGTTTAGCTTTTGGGTATCTGGTGCAACAATTACTTCCGACTTTCTGTATCCAACATATTTGTTTTTAAACTTTCTGCTTCGTCACTGTTGTCCCAGCTCTAACAAGTGCAGCATTAAGGACAAAATAAAAAAAAAGGTCAAAATTGTAATTGCTATTATAGTTTGGTAGACTGAGATAGGTGCATTTACTCTCACAATGTGCCCAGAAAAAAAAAAAAATATATATATATATATATATATATATAAATTAGTACACAAATTTAGTTGCCATAATTTAGGTGTGGGTAACTGATAAGGGGATTCTGCTCCTTAGAGTCTGTTGACTTATAAAAAAATTTAATAAGTTCATTTTTTTTTTTACAAAGTTATAGATCATGGTGAAATAATGCACGAATTCCTATTTGTTTAACATTGACAAGGTAATGAAAGTTGATAAGGTAAATTTCCTATTGCCTGCTCCCAACAGAATAAGAGGACATACAGTACAGTGGAATCTCGACTTACGAATGCCCCTACTTACAAATTTTTAGAGTTACGGCCACACTTTTGTCAGAAAATTCGACTCGACTTGCGACTTTGTTGATACACAAATGGATCAACCAACCGCGTGGTGCGCTTCAGTTTACCAATGTCTTTCGCCTAGTGACGATCGCGCTTGAATTCTTTGTAAAGAATTTCATTGTTTTTCTGGTTTTTTGTTTTTTGAACATAAAAGTAATTATTATATATCACACCATGGCTCCCAAGAAAGTCAGCGGTAAGGTTCAACCTAAGAAAATAGTTGTGAGTAGAGGTAGTAGAGGAAGTCCCTTTCTCATTAAGAAAATGTGTGAAGTATGGGAACAGCTGCAAAGTTTTGTTGAAAAACCTCGCCCAGATAAAGGTGTAGCAGGCCGATGTATTGACCTTTTAAATGGCAATGTAATGTCTCACTACAGACAAGTATTAAAATACAGGGAAAAAGAAGCGTCTTTAGACAGATTCTTAGGAAGACAAGCAAGCAGTGAGCCACAACCAGGTCATAGTGGTATGCCTGCAAAACTTATGAGAGAGAGTACCCCCAGAAAAGTCATCACTGCCTGATGTTATAATGGAAGGGGACTCCCCTTCCAAACACCTCTCCTCCTCCTCCTCCTCACCATTTTCCATACACCAACAAGAGTTATCTATAAAGCTAAACTTTAATTTGTGCATACTATAGTACAAAATGTGTGTGTGTGTATTATGTATGAAATGAATTTTGAAGTTAATATTTTTGGGAGTGTGGAACAGATGAATTCAATTTACTTTATAGGAAAATTTGTTTTGAGTTACAAATTTTCAAGTTATGACCTGTCTCTGGGAATGGATTAAATTCATAAATGGAGGTACCACTGTATATATAAAATCAAGACAATGATGAAGAAAAATATCAGAAAATCTCTCTTCAGTAACAGTAGCCAGGCAAAAATTGTGCATGCCAAAATTGCTGCTCATTTTAAATCTATATTTGGTCAAATTTATGAAGACAACGGACCACCATGAATACACACACACACATTTATGTCACCTTATATGAAGAACAAGTTCAGTACAGTACAGTACTTGAATTTGCTGTTATTCTAAAAAAGCAGCATCAACAGGTCCACAAAACCACGTAATATAAGAATATAATTTTTACAATCTTTGACCTTGACAAAATTGCTATACCTATGGAGTGTTTACTTACCAAAAACCCTAAAATAATAAATGTTACTGATGGAATTCATAAAGCATTTGGTAACATTACATTTAAAACTACTGTATATATATATATATACAATGTACTGCTAAGGACCCTCTTTAAAAATTATTGGAAAACTTTGCATAAAATTTTGTCAAGTCAATTTAATGTATGTATAAAAATAGGGTAATGTAACATTGTATATACAGTACAGGAACTGTAGGTTGGTCATCATTAGATTCAGCTATTTACAGTATTTCTAAAATGTGTCTTGTTTCACTAAAATTATTTCATTAAAATTACTGCTTATATTAAACTTATATGGCTTATAAAAAGAACATTAATTAAAATGGTTTTATAAATAGAACCTTTAATATAATGAAACTTCTTGATGTACAAAACCCTCAGTGTCTTCCAGGCCCGAGTCATAAGCACCGATTCATTAGAGCAAATATCAACAGTCAGGTATTTGATGACTTTTGAAGGCCTACCAAAAACTCAGGAACATTGCCTAGGGGTCTCACAGTGGCATGGGAAACTTAAGAGTCTCAAAACACCCTAAACCAATACAAACTGCACACAAAGTTTAACATCAATTTTAAACAATTCAACACTAGTCATAAACGAACAAACAAATGGGAAAATGTCAACCAATTTACAGGAGAGAGATTATTTGTAGTATCCTGCCTCAAAGAAAGATAAAAGAAACTGAAAAGTCAACTAGACTATGAAACTTGAAACTGACTAACAAGAATGAGCAGTAGGCGAGGTGACCATGTATCCTGACCAAAGTGATGAGCACTGAGAATGGAGGGAAAGGATACCATAGAAATGAACCCCAAAATGTCAAAATATAAAAAATGGCAATGTAAGATCCACCGAAGGAACAAAGGAACCTGCACAATATGGCACCCTCATAGATAATGCCTAGAGTAGCACAGAAGGTGAGAAAGAGCCCTCAGCTATAGCCATACCAGTGGGCATACCATGCAGACAGAGTTCAAACAGCCCAGAAACCCCTTAAGATCCTGAAAGCACACAGACCTTATGCAAAACACCAGCTGAAAATTTTCAAGTGATGCAGTAATACAGACTCCAGAAGAGAGAGAGTATCCTGGTTTCCCACACCAACTTGTGTAAAGTAAATTGAAAAGGAACTCATGAAAGGTCAGTTGGGCAAGCACAATATCTCTGGCCCATAAACAGGCAAGAGGACTGGAGAATAAATAAACCAATCACTAACAGGCCAGAACCTACATCCTGCTAAGACAAACCTTCATAAGGATTACTTGTGTCAATCAGGTCAGATTCAGATCAAAATGCAAAGCCCAAAAATGGAAACATGTGATTCACACAAAACCCTAGTCAATCCCTGAACTCTGGGCGAATGGGAATGTGCCAATAAGTATCCTTTATATCTGGGGAGAAGTCATGCCTGAGACATTGTGGCCATATGAAAAGTGGAGAGAGAAGGTAAAAAATTTCTTTGCTTAGCATAAGAGCGAGTGATTGACCGGGAGCTCAAAGCACCAAAGGCAATAAGGAGAATAAAGTCCAAACCTGACAACCCCAATCTAACAATCAATCAATGTGGTCTGCCAATAAAGAGCTGGTGGAAGAATCTCATCATTCACTGATCCTAGGGAGACATCAGAAGCCAAATGACTAGGCAAGACAGCACGAACTCCTGCCATATCCAAGAGTCTGAGGAGTATGAGACGAAGCTAGTCATGAAGGCTGGGCTGAAGCGCCAGTCTACAGCAGACGTGTAACCAGTTGAAAAAAGCTCCATCTGCAGCCAATATACACCTTACCTCACCATTGTGAAAGCAGAAAGGAGAGTAGAGAATGGAATTGTGAATGACAACCAAGTTGATTCCTGAAGATGGTTTAATAAAAAATGATGCTTAAGCCCAGAATGATGCACAGAAATAAGTCATAGCATTTCATCCTTTACCCCCTTGCACCGAGAGATGAAATACTGTACTCTGACACAATGTGTCAGTAAGTAAGCAAGCAAGCAAGCAAGCAACAATATAAGTGTTACCAGTTCCTCTAACTCCATACATGCTTATTACACTCTCCCAAGAGTCCCCTCTTTATTCACTTTTGTCATACACCTTCTAGTATATAGAGGCCATGTAAGGTGTACATTTTTCTAGACTTTTTGGCCAGTTTCTGAACCTGTGTTTTTCTGTGGCTCTACCTCTTTAAACAGATAGGCCAGATGTTTCTTGGTGGCTTGAGACTCTGCCAATCTGCATGCTGAGAGTTTTTTACTCTTGAACCTTTCCTTGCATAGTTGATAGTTGACTGAACTTTTGGCATCTCGCCTACAGATTTTGTCATGGCAACAGTATAAGGTTTTTTGGGGGTTTCTCCCACCTTTTCTTCTCTACATCACTTCTTAATTTCTGTACTTGTGGTCCTATTGTTTTGTCTTGGTGGTTTGTGGATAAGCTTCTCGTGCTGAATACTGTTGCCTCATATCATTTGGCCTTCGTGGAGTCACTGCTGTTAATGTTTGATGTTGATGTTTTGTTATCATTTCACTAGTTATATGTATCTCCGGCATTTTTCACCTTCAGCCTGCTCATGCTGCTCCTGATCTTTGGTTAAGGTTTTCGTTTTCTCTCCACTCGGTTTTCTGTTGCACCTTCAGTCTCGGATTGTTTCTTCGAGGGTTTGTGTTTGCTTGCCCTCTCTTCCAGTTGTCAGATTGGGGAGCTTCACTTTCCTCCATCAGCAGCGGTTTTACTCTTTTGGTCTTGGGGATCATTTTCTTCATTTATGGCCATCTCCTTCCCTTCTGCCCAAGAATGAGATGGCTGGTTTCTGGAGGGATCTTTGGTGATTGATGCTTGGGTGGTTTGGCCAAGGGTGCATCATTTATTATTACATTAGTTACAGATGCTCTGTTTGTGGACCCAGTGTCCATGCTTCCTTGTTCCCAGGGAACATGTCTCGGGTTGTCAGCAGCGAGTGTCAAAGTTTAGTCAGCCTGCGGTCTGGAGCATACCTGGAGTTTGTTTTGAGAGTTCTTCCACACCCCAAGCCCAGGCTGAAACCAGGCTCTACTTGTGATAACTTGGTCTAATAGGCTGTTGCTTGGAGCAGTCCACAGGCCCACATATCCACTACAGCCTGGTTTGTCTGGTACTTCTTTAAGAACCTGTCCAAATGCCTCTTGAATACCTCCATCTTCATTCTGGCAATATTTCTAATGCTTGTTGGGAGGGTGTTGAACAGCCTTGGAACCCTGATGTTAAGACAGTGTTCTCCGATTGTGCATATGGCGCTTCTACTCCTCAATGGTTCTATTCTGCATTTCCTTCTGTATCTTTTGCTTCAGTATTATGTTATTCTACTGTGCAAATTTGGGACCTGGCCCTCCAATATCTTTCATGTATATATTATTTTATACCTTTCTCGTCTCCTTTCCAGAGAGTACATTGAGAGTTTTGAGATGGTCCCTATAATTAAGATATTTTATCATTTCTATGTATGCCTTATGTGTTCTGTATTTCCTCTAATTCAGAGATCTCTCCTGCTCTGAAAGGGAAAGTGAGTACCAAGCAATACTCAAGACAGGACAGTATCAGTGATTTAAATAGTGTTAGCATTGTTGTGGGGTCCCTAGATTTGAACGTTCTTATAATCCATCCTATCATTTTCCTGGCCACCGCTATATTTGATCAGTTACGTTCACTAAATATCAGGTCTTCAGACATCAGAATTTTCAGATATTTTACATGCTGCTCTACCCTAATCAATTGGGCTGCGAGTAGCCACGTCCACCAGCCTGGGTGACCAGTCCAGCAATGAGAAGGCCTGGTCGAGGACCGGGCTGCAGGGACATCGAGCCTCGAAATCATCGCAAGGTAAGGTAACCCTCAAGCCCATGTTCGTAAATTTGGGGCTCTGTCCACAGTATTTTTTTAATGTATTTTGAACAGACATTGTGGGCATGGGGATATTGGCAGTCTAACAAGGTGCTAATGGCTCATTATTTAAGTAACGTTCTTGGTCCACACCAGACTTGTGTGCCTTTGGGCCAATCAACTCGTCACTAACTTTCCCTTTCCAGGGTTTATTTTTTATAGCTCTCTCTTAGGTGAGTACCTCCTTTTTGTTTTTCTTTCATGATGACAGCACCAGAGAACCACCATTAGGAATCCTCCCAGAAAGCCAGTATTGAGTGTAATGAAATGCACCTTTCTGGTGGGCTCTTGGTGGCTCATTAGGAACCTACTTTTTTTTATTCCAGGTCTTTGGGTTTTCATTTTCCTGGCTATAAGACTGAAGATTCAATGTTTGTGGATCGAGAAGGAAGATGAGCAGTCACACCTGGTGATGTGCAGGTGATACTAACATGAGAACTGCTTCTGCTCCATGTGATTCATGAATCTCAAGAGCTTCATTGTCCCGTTTTCTGTGCTTTGTTTACCTTTCTATCGACTGTTTTGATTTGCCCACCTTTGTGGGTTAGGGTGGTCTATGATGATCTGCTGCTTGTGTCTTTTCAGAGGGGGCCAGGCTTGGCCTCTGCTGCCTGGGAGGCTTCGACTTGCAAGGGCCTGGCATGGATTGAATTGGGTGTAGCTTGCCAGGCAGCAAGTACCAAAGAGCCATCATTAAGAGCCCTCCCAGAAAATTATAATTTAGAAAATATATTTACTGCAAAAATACTTAATACTATTTACAATTTTACATGGTCTACAAAACTGAAAAAGAAAAACGATTTATGCTAATTATAACATTATATAGCTTTATTCTTAAAATTAGATTTAATTATGAACAAAAATATTTCAGTGCAATTCTGCTACAAATGATTTTAAAATTTATTTCATAATTAACACCATCAGGTACTCCCATTAATCAAAATCCAATTACAATAATAAAAAAATCTCATTAACTTTGAATACAAAGTTAAAGATTGGACAAAAATTAATTGAATTAAAACAGCAACACTACATCGGAGGAGGGTGAACCAAACGCTGCCAACCAACCATCAGATGGTGTGATCTCAACATCCTCCATTGATGCCAGGAAATCCTCTGGAGTGTGAGGAAGAGAGTAGTTGGTTCCCAGGCCAAGTCCACTATCTGCCGATTCCTGCCTGGAGTGAAAATCTGTCGTAGCGATGAAAGGATCAGCTGCAGATGTAGTCACCGAGGTCACTGTCTGCGGGGCCGAGGATAAAGTCAGGCCGGCAGAGGTCAGCACCAGCTCACTACCTTGCTGCTGCTGCTGCTGCTGCTGCTGTGAGGTTTGCTGTGTGGACTGCTGGGCTACTGTTTGTGCTGTCTGCTGTTGCTGCTGCTGTTGTTGTGACTGTTGTACCTGTTGTGGTCCCGCTTCCTCCCGTAGACTCATGCGCAATGATTGTTCCTGTTGAAGATGTTTCAGTTTACAAATACTGAAGTCTTTATGAGACTACAAATAATTTAAACTTTGTGATGCAAACTTCCTTAGTATTAGCTTATTAGTGTTATAGCATTAGCTTTTAGACTACAGTGTAAGGCTCTAAAATAAAATGTTCCTATAAAGACTTTGCTTTTCACTGCCCAATCCTCCTTACAATATTGTACACCATGGAATTCTAAATGTTGAATCTATCCTCTTATTTAATGCAACCAATAACTGCTGTGTGTGGCAACACTGTTGGACACAGACTCGGTAATGCACAATACTCTACTTTCTACTCTATATTACAGTATTTGCCAAAAACTAAATGTGTAATGTATACTGTAAATGTAAAAAAAAACTTAATAGTACTGTACATTGTATGTACACTGTATTATGTGTTAAATTCTACACTGAAATTAATTTGAGATTAATTAATAGAGGTCGGGGACCGGGCCGAGGGGACGTTGATCCCGAAATCATCGCAAGGTATATATATATAGTATACACACACACACACAAGTGTATTATGTTTGGATAATATTATAATTAATATAACATAATAGTATAATTAACAGAACAGATAATATAAATATTTTATTTTTCATCAACAATACTTTTAAGACAATCCTAACACACAATTTTGCATAATTTAGTGTTTAATTAGGCAAAGTTTTTGAACTTACAAAATTACACATTACTGAAAATATAGAAAAAGGGGTAATAAAAATATAAAAAATAGGAGCAGAAAATATATAAAAAAAAAGATGGCATTGAAGCAGGAATTCTAAACTAATGAAAATATCACAAGAGTTGAAACTGATAACTCAAGACATGGGGAAAAGGACAAAATTAGAAATGTGAATGGCTTGACAGGACCCTCTCCCCACCCCCATCTAAGGAAATTGTATCCTTGACTGGCACTATTTACCCCTCTCTACCATACCCAGACTCCCCCATCTTGGTCACTCACTAAAGCCATAATGTTTCACACTTCTAACTTGTCTCTAATCATACCACACACTTCTCATACTTCCACACTTGTGCTGCTTTATTATTGTTAAATCTATTCACTTAAACTTTCCAAGTGTTTCATAGGTGACCCAGACCAACTGGTACTCGCCTAGTTATGGTCAATCTAGGGTACAAGTTCAATATATCGTCAAGTGTTCCAGTACTCATATAGTAGTTACAGAGTTCAGCATACCTCAGCCCAGGAGGCTGACCATGTAATGTATCAATTATACAATATATGCATGTGATGTAACTATATAACCTGAGCTTGTAAAAGCATCTTAATCACCTTCAGTGGTTAAGTTCTTAATTGCACACTAGTTTCTCTATCAGCTATCTCACCCTGTCAGAGTAAGAGAGACAAATGTATGAGTATGTATGTGTGTGTGTGTATGTGTGTGTGTGTGTGTGTGTGTGATTATATATATATATATATATATATATATATATAACTGAAAACTCACACCCCAGAAGTGACTCGAACCCATACTCCCACAACTGGTATGTACAGGGACGCCTTAATCCGCTTGACCATCACGACCGGACATAAGGAAGTGATAGCCGAGGCTATATGAACCACTTCCCCGCCGGCACTCGGATGGTAATCTTGGGCATAGCATTTTATCAAATCACCTCATTCTTTGGGGCACACGTGAGGAACACAAATGCAAACAAGCCTGAATGGTCCCCAGGACTATATACAACTGAAAACTCACACCCCAGAAGTGACTCGAACCCATACTCCCACAACTGGTATGTACAGGGACGCCTTAATCCGCTTGACCATCACGACCGGACATAAGGAAGTGATAGCCGAGGCTATATGAACCACTTCCCCGCCGGCACTCGGATGGTAATCTTGGGCATAGCATTTTATCAAATCACCTCATTCTTTGGGGCACACGTGAGGAACACAAATGCAAACAAGCCTGAATGGTCCCCAGGACTATATACAACTGAAAACTCACACCCCAGAAGTGACTCGAACCCATACTCCCACAACTGGTATGTACAGGGACGCCTTAATCCGCTTGACCATCACGACCGGACATAAGGAAGTGATAGCCGAGGCTATATGAACCACTTCCCCGCCGGCACTCGGATGGTAATCTTGGGCATAGCATTTTATCAAATCACCTCATTCTTTGGGGCACACGTGAGGAACACAAATGCAAACAAGCCTGAATGGTCCCCAGGACTATATACAACTGAAAACTCACACCCCAGAAGTGACTCGAACCCATACTCCCACAACTGGTATGTACAGGGACGCCTTAATCCGCTTGACCATCACGACCGGACATAAGGAAGTGATAGCCGAGGTTCATATAGCCTCGGCTATCACTTCCTTATGTCCGGTCGTGATGGTCAAGCGGATTAAGGCGTCCCTGTACATACCAGTTGTGGGAGTATGGGTTCGAGTCACTTCTGGGGTGTGAGTTTTCAGTTGTATATAGTCCTGGGGACCATTCAGGCTTGTTTGCATTTGTGTTCCTCACGTGTGCCCCAAAGAATGAGGTGATTTGATAAAATGCTATGCCCAAGATTACCATCCGAGTGCCGGCGGGGAAGTGGTTCATATAGCCTCGGCTATCACTTCCTTATGTCCGGTCGTGATGGTCAAGCGGATTAAGGCGTCCCTGTACATACCAGTTGTGGGAGTATGGGTTCGAGTCACTTCTGGGGTGTGAGTTTTCAGTTGTATATAGTCCTGGGGACCATTCAGGCTTGTTTGCATTTGTGTTCCTCACGTGTGCCCCAAAGAATGAGGTGATTTGATAAAATGCTATGCCCAAGATTACCATCCGAGTGCCGGCGGGGAAGTGGTTCATATAGCCTCGGCTATCACTTCCTTATGTCCGGTCGTGATGGTCAAGCGGATTAAGGCGTCCCTGTACATACCAGTTGTGGGAGTATGGGTTCGAGTCACTTCTGGGGTGTGAGTTTTCAGTTGTATATAGTCCTGGGGACCATTCAGGCTTGTTTGCATATATATATATATATATATATATATATATATATATATATATATATATATATATATATATATATATATATATATATATATATATATATATATATATATGTCGTACCTATTAGCCAGAACTCACTTCTATGCCTACTATTCAAGGCCCAATTTGCCTAATAAGCCAAGTTTTCATGAATTAGTATATTTTCTCTAATTTTTTTCTTATGAAATTATAAAGCTACCCATTTCATTACGTGTGAGGTCAATTTTTTTTTTATTGGAGTTAAAATTAATGTAGATATATGACCGAACCTAACCAACCCTACCTAACCTAACCTAACCTATCTTTATCGGTTAGGTTAGGTTAGGTAGCCGAAAACGTTAGGTTAGGTTAGGTTAGGTAGGTTAGGTAGTCGAAAAACAATTAATTCATGAAAACTTGGCTTATTAGGCAAATCGGGCCTTGAATAGTAGGCATAGAAGTGCGTTCTGGCTACTAGGTACGACATATATATATATATATATATATATATATATATATATATATATATATATAAAGTATATGTGGAAGCTGATCAATTACATTTCACCCTTGTAAATGCACATTAATGACACTATGTAAAAAACACATAGAACACTTTATGTAGGGCAAACCCACAGATCAGTGAAGATGTTGAAAGTATAAAGGAACGTACAGACAAGCTCTTCGATATGAAAACTCACAGTCTTAATGATCTCCTGCTGCCGCAGCCTCAGTCTCTCGTGTTCCATCTGGAGGCGCTGAAGCCGTAGTGTCTGTTGCCTGGCCTGGAGAGCTGCTGTTGAGGAGCTGACCGTGGGTGCCAGAGGTGGCAGCTGGTGGCTCACTTGCTGTGGTGCCTGTTGCTGGGTTTGTTGTTGTTGTCCAGCTGATTGTGATCCTGCCTGAGAGTGCTGTGGAGGCTGCACACCATTTAACAGAGCTGCCGTTTGTAGGTGTCGGGCTGTAAAGAACAAATGAAATTGTATTGTAAACAGTTATTCTCATCCGATTATCCTTTTCCAATAACATTTTCATACTGGGAAACGGAATACCTCAAGATTCCAAGATGGGAAACCTTTTTAATACCTCAATAAGTCATACACGATTATTATAACTTAGCAATACAGTATGCACTGTATTTAAATAAAAAGTTTACAAATCTTTGCAAATACAAAAAAAATCTGTTTACAATGTAGCAAACTATTATACAGTAAATGTATCGGTTTCCCTTAAAAAAAATCCAACATTTATAAAGGTTATATATAAATAAGGAGATGATATTCTGCCTCAATGGTTATACATTACGATAATTTAGCATAGCTAGTGCATTCAACCCCAAAACACAGATACTTCAAAACCAGCTGTATTTCGTGCAACGCTGGGTTAAGGGGAGTTACAATACATGGCCGCATGTACCCCAACTGTTCCCCTTAAGAAAGCTCAAAGATGGTATACTATACGTCACCTGTCAAGTGTAAAAACTATTAAGCCTTATGGCATAGTCACTTTGTTAGGCAGACGCTTGGCGTGCTAAAGGAAGAAGTGTACCAGACCGACATCTCTCACAGAGAATCAACCTATGGTACCCTATCCTCGACATCCAGTGACCGCAGACGATAGTAGTAGTAAAGAGGAAGGAGAGGCATAGGTGAAGGGAAGTATAGAAGTGGGAAATACAGTGAAAAGTAAAGAGGAAGGAGAGGCATAGGTGAAGGGAAGTATAGAAGTGGGAAATACAGTGAAAGGTAAAGAGGAAGGAGAGGCATAGGTGAAGGGAAGTATAGAAGTGGGAAATACAGTGAAAGGTATGAAAGCAGGCGGGCTGTCCGCCTTACTGACACGATGTGTGGGTGTTGGCAGCTAAGCTAAGCTGGCTCCCTCTTGTCAGGGAGCTGTGTGTGTGTGAGAGGTTCTTCACGTGTGTTTCACCATATCTGGATGTCTATAGATGAATACTGTTTAGCATTCATATATACACACTCTCCGATGCTTCCACACATGTTGTTCTGTTTAAGGCTATTTTATTATTATTATTTATAGAGTTGTTCATATATACACATATATACCCACATATACTCACACATGGTGCCGTGTTCTGGGTTGCTGAACATAGTCGAAGCCTAGCGGCAAAATCACTAAGAGCTCCTAACCCCAATGGGTCAAAAATGCAGCAACGTCTTCCAGTTACCTGTGGTGGAGTCCATCACACCCAGAGGACTCACCAGAAGCTCACCAAGATCCGGCACCTCTCGGTTAAGACGCCACTGCTACACACAGCAGAAAGAAGGTATTCGTACTGCTGTTGCTTCTATTTATAATTGCCGTATTTCGAACACAGATGCATTGCTTCCCCAAGTCTCCCTCACAATTAGGTTCACAATTGCCGGTATTATTGATACGCTATACAGCATCGTTCTTTTTCCAAAAATGAATCCCCAGTTAAGGAATTGCATTTATCAACGTTAAGTAATATTTCCCTCCACCCCCACCATAACTGGTGAATTTTTGTGTCACCTGTAAACTTGCTGATATTACTGACCACTCCAGTATCTACGTTGTTTATGTACATTATGAAAACCTGCGTGCCCAGCACAGATAGATCCCCACAGCTGCTCCGTGACATCCATCCACTCGTATTTAATTTATGGCAACCCTCTCTTTTCTGTCTTTCACTCAAGCCATGATCCAGCTCAGTATGTGTCCCTTGATGCAGTGCACTTCCACCTTACTAAGTGGTCTCATGCGGAACAGTGTTGAATGCGTTTGCAGAGTTCTAGATATACTAAATAATATTTGTTATTATTGCCAACTGCATCGGACATGCTTGGTGAATCCTGGTTCTGTATCCTCTGTAATGTACTTTATATTCTACCATGCAAACAATGTTATGAAATGTTCTTAAAATACAAGAGAATGATTAGAAAGACAGGATATGTGGGCCTGAAGGCCGCTCCAAGCAACAGTCTGTTGAACCAAGTTCTCAAGTCAAGCCTGGTCCCAGGCTAGGCTTGGGGAGAAGAACTCCCAGAACCCACCCCACCAGGTAGCATGGGTTGGTTGCCACTGCCGGTAGTACCTGTCCAGACGGGTGTGATGGTGGGTGGGTAGGGGAAGGACCCCTCCCCCTCTGCCAACCTGGGGGCAAGGTCCTCCCTCAGTGTTCCACCAGCACACCCTCTGCTTGCTTGCTTGCTGTTGACAGGCGTCTTACCACCACCACCCACCCACACACACACCCCACCCACACACACACACACCCACCCACTAGGAAGTGATGTGGTGGAGGCTGACTCCATACACAGTTTCAAATGTAGATATGATAAGAGTCCAGTAGGCTCAGGAATCTGTACACCAGTTTATTGACAGTTGAGAGGCGGGACCAAAGAGCCAGAGCTCAACCCCCGCAAGCACAATTAAGTGAGTACACACCCACACCCCACACCCACAGAATACATGTAACATTCTAACGACGAGCACTAATATAATGAGGCTGTGCCAGATGATACGTGAGAAAACTAATGAAATAATACAAATTATTTAAACAAGTACAAGGTTCCGTCCTCGTGTGATGGTATCCTCATAATGCACCCAGAGTTTGTCAGTGCACACTACTGGTCCCAAGACTATGACTAACCATGTTGCGAAGGGGAAGAAGATTGTTAGCCTCACAAAGCTAGTTCTTGGCCCACTGTGTATTCACCTAGCCTAGCTGGATAAATGCACATGTAACCAAAAAAAAATGAAAATTCCTGCTGGCTGTTGTATGATGTTCAAGATAAGAACTTTAACGGGTGAATTGCCCGTACTGATATACCGCTCAGGCATTGGTTGACGAGTTTAGTGACGTCAGCGATGTCCTGATAGCCCTTATGTGATAGTTACATAAGTAACGCGCCAACTATTTCTTTGCCTTCTGACGTCATAAGTCTCTCAAACGCTCATGTGTTTGAGAGATCAGCACCATGACGTAGGCGGTGACGACATGGCGGTGGTGTGGCCCGGGTACACAGGTGGTGAAGTGGTCCTGGCCGCGCCTCACCCCCCAGCCCCTCCTGGCCGCGCCTCACCACACTCCTCTACGCTCACCTAAAATTACCAAAGACAAGATCATTATCTAAAAAAGTATAGATATAACGGAGTTCCCGAAATGAACTTGCCTGACAATGCTCCTCTGCTATCATAAAAGTCCTGAGGGCCATCATCAGCAGCACACCTTAGATATCAAGAGCCACCACTGTAGCAAGCCTCGCGGAACATGTGCAACAACGCTGACAACTAACAATAAGGGCCCCGCAAATGGTGGCCCCCAAGTCTACAAGCATCACAGTAGAAACTACAGATGGAGAATGATTATGAAGAAACTGGGGCCAACCTGGACAACTGATCCTGGACGAATGGTGATCTCGCGCACACGGACGATGACAGACGCACAGGAAACCTTCCTGCTTGATACCTGCTTGATGGGGTTCTGGGAGTTCTTCTACTCCCAAGCCCGGCCCGAGGCCAGGCTTGACTTATGAGAGTTTGGTCCACTAGGCTGTTGCTTGGAGCGGTCCGTAGGCCCACGTACCCACCACAGCCCGGCACTTTTTCTAGAAAACTGTCTAGTTTTCTCTTGAAAGATGTTGGTCAGGCCAAAAATACAAGATTTCAGAACCAGCGCTTCCACAGAGTCACTCCTACTACACTATGCAGCTCCGCAGGCAACACAACAACCCAAGCTCAGTATTAGCAGACACCTCGGCGACAAAATCGAATCGAAAAGCGGAGTGCCACAAGGGCGCCGACCGTCACTCATATTGATCAACACATACACAGGTGACCTGCACCCTCCCCCCCAACCTGGAGAATACATCACATGACGCTGACTGTCCAGGTTATCTTGAGAGGATTTCGGGGCTTTAGTGTCCCCGCGGCCCGGTCCTCGACCAGGCCTCCACCCCCAGGAAGCAGCCCGTGACAGCTGACTAACACCCAGGTACCTATTTTACTGCTAGGTAACAGGGGCATAGGGTGAAAGAAACTATGCCCATTGTTTCTCGCCGGCGCCCGGGATCGAACCCGGTGTAACGGGGGGTGGGGTAAATGACTATCTTTTGTCCATTATTCCACCCCCCCCCAGTTAACTAACGAGGCCGGGGGAAACAGCTCTCTCTAGTCCGTTATCCCGTCCCCAGTTAGCTAACTATTCTAGAGCACCTCCAGAGTTCCTAAGGCAACCTCTCTCGTTCAACACCTTGTAACCTAGGTATTCGACTACCTAGGTGCGGCGACTACAAGGCGCCGTAACTTTTCCGTGACATCCATCCACTCGTATTTAATTTATGGCAACCCTCTCTTTTCTGTCTTTCACTCAAGCCATGATCCAGCTCAGTATGTGTCCCTTGATGCAGTGCACTTCCACCTTACTAAGTGGTCTCATGCGGAACAGTGTTGAATGCGTTTGCAGAGTTCTAGATATACTAAATAATATTTGTTATTATTGCCAACTGCATCGGACATGCTTGGTGAATCCTGGTTCTGTATCCTCTGTAATGTACTTTATATTCTACCATGCAAACAATGTTATGAAATGTTCTTAAAATACAAGAGAATGATTAGAAAGACAGGATATGTGGGCCTGAAGGCCGCTCCAAGCAACAGTCTGTTGAACCAAGTTCTCAAGTCAAGCCTGGTCCCAGGCTAGGCTTGGGGAGAAGAACTCACAGAACCCACCCCACCAGGTAGCATGGGTTGGTTGCCACTGCCGGTAGTACCTGTCCAGACGGGTGTGATGGTGGGTGGGTAGGGGAAGGACCCCTCCCCCTCTGCCAACCTGGGGGCAAGGTCCTCCCTCAGTGTTCCACCAGCACACCCTCTGCTTGCTTGCTTGCTGTTGACAGGCGTCTTACCACCACCACCCACCCACACACACCCCACCCACACACACACACACCCACCCACTAGGAAGTGATGTGGTGG